GAATTGTTTTTTTAATTTTTTTGAATGCTTTCTTCAACTTTTAAATATATTTTTTCATTTATCTCACATTTATTCTTCTTCAATTTTTCTAATTTTTCGCTCCACAAGCCTTTACAATTTGCTTATTTGTCGGCTCAATCATCAGCTTTACTTTATTCATAGAAAGAGTTAATTTGTGGTCCTTCATATCGTAGCCATCAAGAACAATTTCGGATTTATTTCCAACAAAGATTGGGGTGTCTTTGAAGGGAACGTAGACAGAAGGGCCGTTTTCAATGTCATAAATCAATTTTCCAGACAATTTGTCTCCATGAATTTGACATTCTACAGGAGTTCCGTTATTCTGGGCAACACACTTCGGCTGGTTTTCAACCTGTAAAGTCACTGAATATTTTGATTTGCCACCAGATACAATTAATTGATTGGACGAATTTGGGTTATTTGCCATCATTTTGGCGTCTCCATGCATTCTTGACCCTGCTACAGGCACAAACATCCCATATATCACTTTACAATCCTTTTGGGTTTGGAGAGAATCGGAGGTTGAAGCACTTCGATTAGTATTCATTCCCTCAGATGTAGCAATAATTGAAATGATTAGAAGGGTAGAAGTGAAGAAGATGGCCATTTTTGGTTTGTTTTTAGGGTTGTTTTGGGGTGTTTTTTGAGTTTTTAGTTGTTGAGGAGTTTATTTGATAATTCGATAGCTAAATAATCGGTGTTTATATATTAATGTATTTGAGGGGGTTTGAAAGTTTTTTTGTCAGTTTTGCCATATTTTCATCTGAGAAAAACAAAAGTGCAATTGCATTACTTTGGCATCATATTATATAATATATGAAGGAAAGCTTTGGAGTTATTATTGAAATGGTAATTTCATAAAAATTTTTTATTCATTTTATGACATGTAAGATGATGTAAACATATGTAATTGCACTTTTATTATTTCTCAAGTTTTTAATTTCAAAACCCCTCAAATACATTAATATATAAACACCGATTATTTAGCTATCGAATTATCAAATAAACTCCTCAACAACTAAAAACTCAAAAAACACCCCAAAACAACCCTAAAAACAAACCAAAAATGGCCATCTTCTTCACTTCTACCCTTCTAATCATTTCAATTATTGCTACATCTGAGGGAATGAATACTAATCGAAGTGCTTCAACCTCCGATTCTCTCCAAACTCAAAAGGATTGTAAAGTGATATATGGGATGTTTGTGCCTGTAGCAGGGTCAAGAATGCATGGAGACGCCAAAATGATGGCAAATAACCCAAATTCGTCCAATCAATTAATTGTATCTGGTGGCAAATCAAAATATTCAGTGACTTTACAGGTTGAAAACCAGCCGAAGTGTGTTGCCCAGAATAACGGAACTCCTGTAGAATGTCAAATTCATGGAGACAAATTGTCTGGAAAATTGATTTATGACATTGAAAACGGCCCTTCTGTCTACGTTCCCTTCAAAGACACCCCAATCTTTGTTGGAAATAAATCCGAAATTGTTCTTGATGGCTACGATATGAAGGACCACAAATTAACTCTTTCTATGAATAAAGTAAAGCTGATGATTGAGCCGACAAATAAGCAAATTGTAAAGGCTTGTGGAGCGAAAAATTAGAAAAATTGAAGAAGAATAAATGTGAGATAAATGAAAAAATATATTTAAAAGTTGAAGAAAGCATTCAAAAAAATTAAAAAAACAATTCTTAAAATAATATAAATTTAATATTTTTGATAAATTATATTTTATATATTATTATTTACTTTATAAATATAAAATTTAGAACAATAAATAAGGGCATGAAAATATTTTTTAACAGTCTAATAACTGTAATTCATATTCTATTCCAAGATAAGTCTATAACTAGTTATATTACTGAGATATATACATGCCAAAATCAAGTATGAGTATGTTCCACAAAGTGAGAGTATGTTCCCATTTATCAAAAAATGTTTCCAACTGGAGTCTTGTCCATTTTTTTCCATTTTTTATTTCCCTTTTCTATGTTATACTTGTGTATAATAGAATAATTGCTTTTGCATATTAAATACTACCTAAAAATTAATAAAAAAACAAATCATCCGATAAAGGAGTATTTAAATAGATCTTATCTACCTCAATACTAAGTCTGTATCACTTTTATTATTCTCATATTAGTAATTTTGTACTACATTATTTGTTTATTAGTTATTTGGAATTGTTTTTGTATAATAATTGATAGTTACACCAGTCGTTTATCCTGATCTTCTCAATTTAGTTAAAAATTGTGGAGAATATGCGAAATAAAGTCTACTATTTAAATCAGTGTATAGAATATGGAGTAAAAATTTTGTATAATAATCACAACGAATTAGCTATAAAATGATCATTGTATAGAATAGGGAGTAAAGATTTTGTAGAATAATCACAACGAATTAGCTATAAAATGATCATTGTATAGAATAGGGAGTAAATATTTTGTAGAATAATCACAACGAATTAGCTATAAAATGATCAGTGTATAGAATAGGGAGTAAAGATTTTGTAGAATAATCACAACGAATTAGCTATAAAATGATCATTGTATAGAATAGGGAGTAAATATTTTGTAGAATAATCACAACGAATTAGCTATAAAATGATCAGTGTATAGAATAGGGAGTAAAAATTTTGTATAATAATCACAACGAATTAGCTATAAAATGATCATTGTATAGAATAGGGAGTAAAGATTTTGTAGAATAATCACAACGAATTAGCTATAAAATGATCATTGTATAGAATAGGGAGTAAATATTTTGTAGAATAATCACAACGAATTAGCTATAAAATGATCATTGTATAGAATAGGGAGTAAATATTTTGTAGAATAATCACAACGAATTAGCTATAAAATGATCAGTGTATAGAATAGGGAGTAAAGATTTTGTAGAATAATCACAACGAATTAGCTATAAAATGATCATTGTATAGAATAGGGAGTAAATATTTTGTAGAATAATCACAACGAATTAGCTATAAAATGATCAGTGTATAGAATAGGGAGTAAAGATTTTGTAGAATAATCACAACGAATTAGCTATAAAATGATCATTGTATAGAATAGGGAGTAAATATTTTGTAGAATAATCACAACGAATTAGCTATAAAATGATCATTGTATAGAATAGGGAGTAAATATATTGTAGAATAATCACAACGAATTAGCTATAAAATTATCAGTGTATAAAATAGGGAGTGAAGATTTTGCAAAATAATAACAACGAATTAGTCTTGATAAAAAATTTTGATATGTTGTTAGGATGGTTTTTCTTTTAAAAATTTTCAAATTTATCTCCTTTTATAAAAATTTTATACGCTTGATAGGATGATTTGTTTTTCCTTAATTTATTTTAATTTAATTAAAATTTTAAAGGCTTTATCGTACGATTTTTTAAGTTTTTAAATTTTATCTAATAAATTATTTTCAAAAATATTAAAATGGGGAATAAAAGTTGTTATAAAAAAAAAGTTTGAGATTATTCTACAATATATTTACTCCCTATTCTATACAATGATCATTTTATAGCTAATTCGTTGTGATTATTCTACAAAATCTTTACTCCCTATTCTATACACTGATCATTTTATAGCTAATTCGTTGTGATTATTCTACAAAATATTTACTCCCTATTCTATACAATGATCATTTTATAGCTAATTCGTTGTGATTATTCTACAAAATCTTTACTCCCTATTCTATACACTGATCATTTTATAGCTAATTCGTTGTGATTATTCTACAAAATATTTACTCCCTATTCTATACAATGATCATTTTATAGCTAATTCGTTGTGATTATTCTACAAAATCTTTACTCCCTATTCTATACACTGATCATTTTATAGCTAATTCGTTGTGATTATTCTACAAAATATTTACTCCCTATTCTATACAATGATCATTTTATAGCTAATTCGTTGTGATTATTCTACAAAATCTTTACTCCCTATTCTATACACTGATCATTTTATAGCTAATTCGTTGTGATTATTCTACAAAATATTTACTCCCTATTCTATACAATGATCATTTTATAGCTAATTCGTTGTGATTATTCTACAAAATCTTTACTCCCTATTCTATACACTGATCATTTTATAGCTAATTCGTTGTGATTATTCTACAAAATATTTACTCCCTATTCTATACAATGATCATTTTATAGCTAATTCGTTGTGATTATTCTACAAAATCTTTACTCCCTATTCTATACAATGATCATTTTATAGCTAATTCGTTGTGATTATTATACAAAATTTTTACTCCATATTCTATACACTGATTTAAATAGAAGACTTTATTTCGCATATTCTCCACAATTTTTAACTAAATTGAGAAGATCAGGATAAACGACTGGTGTAACTATCAATTATTATACAAAAACAATTCCAAATAACTAATAAACAAATAATGTAGTACAAAATTACTAATATGAGAATAATAAAAGTGATACAGACTTAGTATTGAGGTAGATAAGATCTATTTAAATACTCCTTTATCGGATGATTTGTTTTTTTATTAATTTTTAGGTAGTATTTAATATGCAAAAGCAATTATTCTATTATACACAAGTATAACATAGAAAAGGGAAATAAAAAATGGAAAAAAATGGACAAGACTCCAGTTGGAAACATTTTTTGATAAATGGGAACATACTCTCACTTTGTGGAACATACTCATACTTGATTTTGGCATGTATATATCTCAGTAATATAACTAGTTATAGACTTATCTTGGAATAGAATATGAATTACAGTTATTAGACTGTTAAAAAATATTTTCATGCCCTTATTTATTGTTCTAAATTTTATATTTATAAAGTAAATAATAATATATAAAATATAATTTATCAAAAATATTAAGGTTAATTATTTGAAGAATTGTTTTTTTATTAATTTTTTTGAATGCTTTCTTCAACTTTTAAATATATTTTTTCATTTATCTCACATTTATTCTTCTTCAATTTTTCTAATTTTTCGCTCCACAAGCCTTTACAATTTGCTTATTTGTCGGCTCAATCATCAGCTTTACTTTATTCATAGAAAGAGTTAATTTGTGGTCCTTCATATCGTAGCCATCAAGAACAATTTCGGATTTATTTCCAACAAAGATTGGGGTGTCTTTGAAGGGAACGTAGACAGATGGGCCGTTTTCAATGTCATAAATCAATTTTCCAGACAATTTGTCTCCTTTAATTTGACATTCTACAGGAGTTCCGTTATTCTGGGCAACACACTTCGGCTGGTTTTCGACTTGTAAAGTCACTGAATATTTTGATTTGCCACCAGATACAATTAATTGATTGGACGAATTTGGGTTATTTGCCATCATTTTGGCGTCTCCATGCATTCTTGACCCTGCTACAGGCACAAACATCCCATATATCACTTTACAATCCTTTTGGGTTTGGAGAGAATCGGAGGTTGAAGCACTTCGATTAGTATTCATTCCCTCAGATGTAGCAATAATTGAAATGATTAGAAGGGTAGAAGTGAAGAAGATGGCCATTTTTGGTTTGTTTTTAGGGTTGTTTTGGGGTGTTTTTTGAGTTTTTAGTTGTTGAGGAGTTTATTTGATAATTCGATAGCTAAATAATCGGTGTTTATATATTAATGTATTTGAGGGGTTTTGAAATTAAAAACTTGAGAAATAATAAAAGTGCAATTACATATGTTTACATCATCTTACATGTCATAAAATGAATAAAAAATTTTTATGAAATTACCATTTCAATAATAACTCCAAAGCTTTCCTTCATATATTATATAATATGATGCCAAAGTAATGCAATTGCACTTTTGTTTTTCTCAGATGAAAATATGGCAAAACTGACAAAAAAACTTTCAAACCCCCTCAAATACATTAATATATAAACACCGATTATTTAGCTATCGAATTATCAAATAAACTCCTCAACAACTAAAAACTCAAAAAACACCCCAAAACAACCCTAAAAACAAACCAAAAATGGCCATCTTCTTCACTTCTACCCTTCTAATCATTTCAATTATTGCTACATCTGAGGGAATGAATACTAATCGAAGTGCTTCAACCTCCGATTCTCTCCAAACTCAAAAGGATTGTAAAGTGATATATGGGATGTTTGTGCCTGTAGCAGGGTCAAGAATGCATGGAGACGCCAAAATGATGGCAAATAACCCAAATTCGTCCAATCAATTAATTGTATCTGGTGGCAAATCAAAATATTCAGTGACTTTACAAGTCGAAAACCAGCCGAAGTGTGTTGCCCAGAATAACGGAACACCTGTAGAATGTCAAATTAAAGGAGACAAATTGTCTGGAAAATTGATTTATGACATTGAAAACGGCCCATCTGTCTACGTTCCCTTCAAAGACACCCCAATCTTTGTTGGAAATAAATCCGAAATTGTTCTTGATGGCTACGATATGAAGGACCACAAATTAACTCTTTCTATGAATAAAGTAAAGCTGATGATTGAGCCGACAAATAAGCAAATTGTAAAGGCTTGTGGAGCGAAAAATTAGAAAAATTGAAGAAGAATAAATGTGAGATAAATGAAAAAATATATTTAAAAGTTGAAGAAAGCATTCAAAAAAATTAAAAAAACAATTCTTCAAATTATATACATATAAATTTAATATTTTTGATAAATTAACTTTATATTTTATATTTATTTTATCAGAAATAAAAATTTAGAACAATAAATAAGGGAATGAAAATATTTTTTAACAGTATTGTAACAGTAATTCTATTCTAAAAGAAGTTGAAAATTTCAAGTTATACAATTAATTTTTGCAGCTTTATGTCTTTTTTGGGCTGTAGTGTAGTGTACCGGTGGTAAAAGTTCGGGACGTGACATATGTCATTCGATTCGTCTCGACGAGCTGAGTCGAATGGTACCACTCCCTACTTTAGGAAATAATTCTGGACCGAGTTATAGGTCCCGAAAAATCGAAAAACCAAAGGGGGGACCAAGCACTTTTTTGGAGTGAAAAATTCGAAAATACAAATTATACCTCATTCGAAAGAGCTCGTCGAGCTGAGTCGAATGACACCAAAATCAACAAAATCCGACTTGATTTGACAAAGTTATGACCGTTTGTTTTAGCTCCTTACCTATGGCATCTGTGGAGATTTTTGTTGCTACGGAGGCCCCAAATACGTCCAGAGCAATGAAAATAGGAATAGGTTTATGTTACGAGCCCAGACCCAGCGCCCGTAGACTCCCCGCGAGGCGCGTGCCGCAAAACCCCGCGCGAAGCGCGGGGTTTTGCACAAGCGCCTCGCCGACGCCCCATAGGTTTAGGTTTTTTGTTTTTTCTTGTCGTAACTTTGTCTAATCTTGTTCAATCACTGTGATTTTGGTGTCATTCGACTAAGCTCGAGGAGCTCTTTCGAATGATATGTCATTTGTATAATCGAATTTTTTGACCCCTAAGATTTTCAAAATTCGGGGGTCTGTAACTCAGCCATATGAAGTCGGATTTCGTTGATTTTGGTGTCATTTGACTCAGCTCGAAGAGCTCTTTCAAATGAGCTATCATTTGCATTTTTGAAATTTTCACCCCAAAAAAGTGCTTGGTCCCCCCTATGGTTTTTCAAATTTCAGGGACCTATAACTCGGTCCAGAATCATTTCCTAAAGTAGAGAGTGGTACCGTTCGACTCAGCTCGCCGAGACGAATCGAATGACATATGGCTCGTCCCGAACTTTTACCACCGGTACACTACACTATATCCCTTTTTTGTAACAAAAAATATTTTTAAAACATCATACCCACCGAAGCACTACTTTAATAACAATATAAGGTCAATTATCGGGTGCCGGAATTTTGGTCACCGGAATTTTGGTCACCAAGGATTTTCGGAAATTTGGTCACCAACTTTTTTGGAATTTTGGTCACCAGCGGAAAAAAATAATCTTATCTAAAACTGATATCAAAGTGATAAAAAATGATTTTTCAACTCCCAGTTGATCAATTTCAATATTGATCACTCTGCCAGTTAATCAATCATCCGGAAGAGTGATCGAGAGTGATCAACTGAGGGAGTGATCAGCCATGAAAGTGATCAACATTGAAATTGATCAACTGGGGGTTGAAAAATCATTTTTTATCACTTTGATATCAGTTTTAGATAAGATTATTTTTTTTCGTTTGGTGACCAAAATTCCTATTGGTGACCAAAATTTCAGTGTCCAATATTCCGTTTTTTGACTTGGTGACCAAAATTCCGCTGGTGACCAAAATTCCAAAAAAGTTGGTGACCAAAGTTCCGAAAATCCTTGGTGACCAAAATTCCGGTGACCAAAATTCCGTACACCCAATTATCCTTGGTCAATTATCTTTTTCCTCATTTGTAATATCCTCAATTGTTGTACCGCCTTAAGATTTTAATTATTATATTTTTATTTTTAAAATAATTCCCTATTTTTTGCCCTATTTTTGATCAATTTCTTTATTTTTCCCCATTTTCAGTGGCTGCGCCCTATTTCAGTGGTTTGAAAAAGACAACCCTGACAAGCGATAAATTTCTGATTGTGTTTGTCTAATTTTGCAAGTCCCGAACGTGACAAAATTAAATTTAAATTTTTTTAATTTTAATTTTATATGTGTATTTTGTATACAGGATGACCCAAAAGAAACTGGGCACGCTATTTCTGGCATAACTTTATTCAAATTAAAGATAATGAGATCAAATAAAGATGAAATTATCGAGAACTAAATGGCGAATAAAACTTGGAAAAAACCTTTCTGAGATACAGAAAATAAAATTTTGAGGGGAAAATTTTGATATAGTGGTGTACCTAAAATAACATAACTTTCTTAATCCTCGATCAAAAAATCTTTAATTTTACTATATGATAGATGCTGGTAAAAACAATGCTAAGGATTTTTATCCGTAGCGACATAGCTGCTAGAGACGTCCGAGACTCTTTGTCTTGAGTCTTGACTCAAGACTTTTCTTGGTTTTTTTTCGGTCTTGGTCTTGGGGTGTTTGTCTTGGTCTTGTCTTGGTTTTATTTTTTGGTCTTGGTTTTTGGCCTTTTTGGACCAAAAATTTCTAATTGTCGAAATTTTCGGTCTCGGACGTCTCTAATAGCTGCAGATAGTTAGCATTGTTTTTACCAGCAAGAGAAATGAATGAGCGACAAAATAAACTTGGAATTATTTAAAAATAATATAAACATAAGTAGTTATAAAGGATAGAAAAGTGCCCGGTTTCTTTTGGGTCATCCTGTAATTATTAAAATTTAGTTAAGAATTTAATTTTGGATTTTATTTTAATTTCAAATAGACAAATTAATAGAACGGATAAATTACAGATAAATACTTAAAAATATCTTAAAAGAAAAATTTAGGACAATATTCTCAAATAGATCACTTGGAATTTGAAGAATTATTAGAGGACAAGTGAATTACCTAATTTATAATTAAAATTAATTAAAAAATTAATTTTAATTATTTCCATATTTTTACTGTTCTTTTTTTATTTTTTTATCATTATACTAAATGGCCAGACTTATTTTAGCTAATTAAATCATGGAATACTTAGAAAAAAATTGTGACTTTTCAACCTTTTCCTGCAATATTTCTAGTAGTCCTTTTATCTAATATTAACAAAAAAATTTAAATAGAATATTTAATATTAAATAAACAAAATTGCAAAAAATAATAATTAAAATTGCATTATCTTATGAAATTTAATTAAAATGCCCTTTAATGAAAACAAAATAAAATTAAGAAATAATATAAGTGCAACTATAGTGCAATGTTACAATTTAGGATTTCTTAAATCTTTCCGGATGTGTCTTGGCATTTTTTATAATTAATTAATTCTCGGCAAAGTGCACTTTCAAAGCGCCTGTCTAATAATATTGCACTTTTTGCCTCTATTTTTGGGGAAAATCAAAGGGAACGGCTAAAAGGGCATTTAATGTTTGAGTTTTTTCCCAGACGCTAATTAAGGAAATAAAATAACAAATATAGCCAAAACGCCTTTCAAAATCCTCAAATTAGCTGATATATAAACACCAATTATTTAGCTATACAACTATCAAACAATCTCTTCGACAACTAAAAAACACAATAAAATACCCCTAAAAATACTCAAAAATGGCTACCATCTCCCTCACCTCTACCCTTCTAATCATTTCCTTGGCTTTAATTGCCATAATTGAGGGAAGTGGAAGTGGGGATGCTTCAAGTTCGAGTTCAAGTCCTTGCAAAATGGGCAAACTTGTGAACCCAAGCTTACTGAAACATGAACACACAACTACTAATGATGAGAAGAAAGTAAACGTTTTAAAAGTTGCTTCGAAGAAGGCAAATGACCCAATCTTTAAAAATACAAAAATTATTTTGGAAATTGGAGGAATTAAATGTGAAGCTTCCGTTAAAAATAATAAAGGGGAAGAATGTAAAATACCCGTTAAAGAGATTAAAAAAGGCCCCCAATCTGGAACTCTGATTTTTAGCTATGCTGAAGGGAAAGAAGTCAAAGTTCCGTTTAAAGACGTCCATATGTTTGATGACAATATGTGTAATATTGTGCTTGAAGGATATAATATGAAGACACATGAGTTGGATTTCACCCTTAATGGTTTGTATCCACTCAAGGTGGTTCCTGAGGATAAAAGGTGTTGATAGAATGAAGCGAAAAGGGGAAAAAAGATGAAGAAATAATTTAAAGAATAAAGTGAAGTAAGAAAAAGAAAATTGTTAATTTAAAATTGAGAAGAAAATCTGTTTGTTAATTTTTGTTGGAATAAATTAGTTAATTGCAAATTCATATAATAATTATACTATTTATTTACCTCTGGAATTTATCTCAAATGATGGTGAGAAAATAAATAGCTCACGATTTCTGTAAAACGAATTCCTTCCATCCACTTTTTTTAAAGTAGGTCAAACCCATCTGTGTTTTGTACCAGGGATAGCCATCCCATCCCTGGTTTGTACTGGCTTAATTTTGAAGTTGGCTATTTTCACTAAACTATTTTGTTTCGTTACATTATGTCGAGTGCCAATTTATTAAATACCACTTTGTCTCGTCCCTTTCTTCTTACACATGCATAGAAAGACAGAGAAGAGAAATTAAAAATATTAACTATACTAAATCGGTTTGTCCGTCACACTTTTTTTACAGTATTTGCAAAGAAAAGGAGAATTTATTTTGACACGAAAATTTTTTATAAGAGTAAATAAGAGAGAAAAAAGTTGTTTTTCCCTAATTCTTCTGAAAAATTTAAGTGTAAACAACAAACAACCAGCCGTCTGCCTTTTAATCGCAGGCGATACCAGCCATCTGCCATTTAAACGCACCCAGTTAGTTTTTGCTAGATTAATCGCAGCCATTTAGACGCAAAAATGAACTTTGACGGTAAACATCATCACGGTAGAGTCTTAGGCAGATTTAGAGAAACACCGTGGATATAAATGTTTATGAGGAAGATCGAGGGACTTCAAGATTAATAAGGAATCGGTGTTTAGTGGGAATTTAAAGATATATGAGTTTGGCTGTTAGTTCTTCATTCGAGTATTCGAGGGATTAAAATGCTTAAATGGTATTTTTGCGTTAAGATATCTAAGGATTTAAGTGAGATCACGGTGATTTTGTGAATTGAAAGATAACTGGAACTTTTGGTGAGCAAAAGAGATAAGTTAGGATAGAAAATGTGCTATTGCGGATTGAGGTCTTTTTAGGGGATTAATGTATTGTGTGCACTCTATGGAGGAGAGGTATTTTTGGATTAAGGGTGCAAAAAGGGATATCTGGGTTTTTTGAGATATATTGGATTTCATTGGGTATCAGGGGTTAGGAGGGAAATCGTGGGATTTGGAGAGAGATAAAAAGAATTGAAGAGGCTTCTGGGCTTATTAGTTTGTTTTGTTTTGCGCTAATTAAGAGGAGTTAAGAGATATAAGTTTGGAGAATTAAGGTGGATATCGGGGATTTGAAGGGTTTAGAGTAGGTTAATGGGTCTTATTATTTGCAGTGTTCAAATGTGATATAGAGTTCGGAAATTTTAGGAGATATAATAGATTGGGAATTTAAGGGACAAATGAGGGGATTAAAAGAGATTAATAGAGATATCAGGGTTTTTTAGATTCAAAACAATTGATTAAGTGGATATACAAGAAGGATATCGAATTAAGAGGGAAATATAGAACGGATAAGAAGATTTGAAGTAATTCGTATATCTTTGATTTGGGGAAAATATCGGGGATCTTGAAGTTTAAGGTGGATTACGGAGAATTTTAAAAATAAAAAGCGACCCAAGATATATCGAGAGCAAAGGAGCATTATCGGGTTCAAAGAGACAATTTTTTGATTTAATGACTATATATATAGAAGAAGAATATCGATAAAGTGAGCTGTATAAGTGATAAAATTGTATTTGGGAGAATAATAAGGACTAAAGAACTGGTGAGATCAAGAGAGATATGAATTATCTACGCCAACGCGGAAATTTTTTAGTTTTTAACTTAAATTTTGGCTTAAAATCGTTTTGTTTTTTTAACAAATCACGAGATTATCTTAACGAAACAAAAAAGAAATATAAAAGTGTTTCTTAACGAAAAAAAATCATAAGAAACAGCGAAACGAAAAGTTTCGTGCAAGTCTGATCAGGATGGATATTAAGAAGTTGGAATATAGTCGCCAGTAGCTTATTTTTGAAAATTAATCGCGGATACTTAGACGCAATTATGAGACTTTAAATGAAACTCATTAGAGTCCGTAGGGGGCTCGATTATCGGGGATTAGTGATAAGAATTTGCTGTGATTTAGTTTTTTGGGCGATTAAGAATGATATAGGAAGATTTGAGTTTTAATAGGGTTTTCAATAATTCTGTGAGAAATTAAAAGCGATACGAGAATATTTGGAAATAATAGAGATAACGGTGATTTTGGGGTGATTAAGTGGATGTGTATTTTGTCCCTTAAAGTATTGATTAGGGATATCGGAGAGATAGGTGTATTTTATTGAGATAATCAAAAAGGATAACAGAGTTTTTTTGATCTAAAGATTAATATCTATTTGGAATTTTTAAAAAAGGTGATATATGAAAGTGTGAGTGATTAAGTGGCGAATTAGGTGTAATTAAAAGGGCTAAGAGTGGATCTGCTGAGTTTGATGGATAAATGGTCATATCGGGATTGAGTGTGATAAATGACATTTCAAAGGATTTGCGATGTTGATTAAAATAATGCGGATAATTTGGGGAAAAATGTGATATCTTTGAGAACATATTGCGCTAAAGGATAATATCTGGGATTTCAGTTACAGATTTTGGTGATACGCCAATGGGATTCGTCTAAAAGAGATTAAAAGGTGTTTGACGAGCGTTTGTTCGCCGCGAAGCGGCGAACAAACGCTCGTATTTTAGAAAATCTTTTCTTTCCTGCTTCCCATACAAAATTTATTTAAAAAATATTCTGCATTAATATATATGTAAAAGAAATGTGTCTGCCGTGCGAACAGCTGGCCGCCGTTTCCCGCTTTAGAGAGAGAAACGTTCTAATTGCAAACATTAGGGATTATTGAGTCCTAATGGGAACGTACGGTTTACGCCCTACGGGTAGTAAACGCAGTTGATATGGCCTCGGTGGCTAGTATTGACCGAAGGATGATTGGAGCAATCTTGTATTGAGCGGAAGGTTGGACGCAAACTTGATAACCGGCTCAACGATTGAAAGCAATCTCAAGGGTCGAAGAATAGCAGGAGGAGCATTTATCGATGACACTGACCTCTCACTGCGGTTGTATTCGGATGGAGGGTTCAGTTTAAGTTCGCCAATTTTTTTTCAATTCTATCAGACCGGCCGATCTTTATTACGTCTTCTGCTGTGTAGTGATACCAGCTTAGTTTCAATTTTGTTGAAACTCTTATATTTTGTTGGACCTCTTTTGTTGTTTAACGGGTTGTTCGTGCACAGAGAAAGACATAGAAGGGAAAATATAAACTGAACTATTTTTCTTTGCTGCTCCCCATAAAAAATTTATTGTAGACATATTCTGCATTAATATATAAGTTGCAGAGAAAAGTCATCTGAGCGAACAACTGGCCGCCGTTTCCCGCTGTAGAGAGAGAAACGTTCCAACAGCAAACATTAGGGATTATTGAGTCCTAATGGGAACGTAAATACACACTGAGATGGTGTTGAACACGTATATGACATTGAAATATGAGCTATAGCAGTTCAAGTCTTTGTGACTTAATCCTTTCACTGCGGTTGCATTCGGATGGAGGGCTTCAGTTGATATGTTCGCAAATTTTTTACAATGATTGCAAATTGGTACTAATCAGTTAAAAGTTACTGAGCTTAATTCAAATTTCAGTAGATTAATGGTTTAGCTTGATTCTGATTTTTAGTCTTAGTTTTATTTGTATAGGCTTTCATAATTTTATTTTGATAAAGTTTAATTAAATTTTTAAGATCAAGCTTCGTTCTGATTTAACTTCATAATTCTGATTTCATATTAAGATCGACTTAGTTCTAATTTAAATTCTGATTTCATAATTCTGATTTTTTTCTGATTTCATAATTCGTATTTTTTTCAAACTATATTTTTTCCAATTAAAGATCAGAATTTTCCTAAGAGGATTAATAAAAATCGTCTTTTTAATAATTATCAATTTTTTATCAATTAATCTTTAAAAATCGGTTAAAATTTAAAGTTAATAGTTCATTTCTATTTAAAATTTATTTTTTATTTGAAAAAAAAACAAAAATATTTTCTAGACACAACAAAGTAAATCAATGAGCTAAAATAAATATTTACACACAAGTGTCATATGATTAATGTTTGTTTATAAAAAATAAAAGTCTACTAATTATGTTGATCCTTGTACTTTTGTAAAAAAATATGTTTATTTAATTAAACTTTAAAAATTCTCTAAACCAGAATAAAAGGTTACAATAAAATATAAATTGAAATTAAATTTTAAGCTTGAACTTGATTTAAGTATTTTAATTTAAAACTCGAAACCAGAATTTAAGCTTAATCTTGGATTAATTAATTTAACAAAATTGAAATCAGAATTTAAGCTTAAACTTGAATTATTTAAATTTGAAACTTTAAATAATAACTTAAGTTTAATCTTAAATTATCATAGTTGAATCTTAAATCGGAATTTAAGCTTAAACTTGAAATATTCTGATTTAAAACTTGAAACCAGAATTTAAGCTTAAGCTTATTATTTATAAATAAAACCTGAAATAAATTTAAGCTTAAACTTGAATTATTTAAAAATAAAACCTAAAACCAGAATTTAAGATTAAACTTGAACTTAAATGACAATACAAGCGTAAACTTAATATTACCAATTAAGGCTTAAAATCAGAATTTAAGCTTAAACTTAAATTTTTAAATTAAAACCCTGTTATCAGAATATAAGCTTACACTTAAAATTTTTAAATTTAATCTTTGTAAAAACATTTTTAATTCTCAATTAGTCATTGTAAAATTTAATTTTTATGTAAATACCAACCATAGAACACTAATTTTCTATTATAATTTTTATTCTTTCTACATATTAATTTTTCAATTGCTTTTTTTCTATTCTTTCCTTCCCCAACAGAGGCCAATTCAAAAATCTATCCATCATTCACGCGATTTTTATTTATTTACTGTTTAGAATGTTGGAATGAATGATAAAAGGTTCGCATTAATGCAAATAAAGGGGCTACGTAGAACTTAGATTTTTATTTTTAAGTTTAATTTAATTTTAAATTAAGTTTTAATCTCAAATTTCTATTTTTTACTGATTTCTTGATTAATTCCCCTTCCTCGAATAATTCCCCCTCTCGATTAATTCAAGGAAGGGTTGAAAAATAATTACTAATTATTTTAAATAATTATTTTAAAATAATTAAAATAATAATTTTAAAAAATAAAAATAATTAATTTACCAAGGAAGGGTTGAAAAATAATTCCCCTGGGGAATTAAGAGAGAAAATACGGTAGTTCTGATTTTTAAGTTTATTTTAATTTAAAGTTTTATTCTGGTTATGTAGTGAATTAATTTTTAAGTTTGCACTTGATTCTGATTTTAAATTCTGGTTTATTTTCTCTCTTAATTCTGGTTGACTTTAATTCTTTTTAAGTTTACACTTGATTCTGGTTTCTATTTTATTCTGTTAAGTTTTAATATTTCTAGTTTAAGCTAGATTCTGATTTCTAGTTTTGTTATAATTAAGTTTAAACTTGATTCTACTCTTATTCTGCTTAAGTTTAAAATTTTGTTTTCAAGTTTAAGCTTAATTCTAATTTTTAGTTTCAATTTAATTTTTGTGAGATTGAGCTTGATTCTCTTTTGTTTTCTAGTGTGTTTCTAGTAGTGTCTTATAGTTAATTTTTATTTTTACACTTTATATTTTAAAAAGCAGTGAAAAATTAATTTCTTTTTAGTGTCGACAAAAAATATTTCAAGAAAAGCTAGGACATGAGAAAACCCACCACATGCCAAATTTGTCCAAATTATTTATAAATATAATAAAAATTTTTAACGCGCGTGTTCACATCCCGCGTGCATTTTTTATTCTTTTATTTTTAAACACGTGTTTGATAGAAACTTTAATCCATTTTGACTTTTTTTAAATTTTTTCATTTTATTTTTATTTGTTAATTTTTTAATTTTAATGTTATTTTAACTTTTAACTTAATTTCTGATTCTATTCTGTTAAAGTTTTAATATTATTTTTTAAGATTGAGCTTAATTCTGGTTTTATTCTGATTAAGTTTAATTTTAAGTTTAATTCTGATTTTATTAATTTGTTTTTACTGCAGCTAGGTTTTAATAAAATTCTTAAGATTGAACTTTCTTCTGATTTCAAGTTTTTTTATTTTTAAGATTGAACTTGCTTCTGATTTCAAGTTTTATTTTTTTTCATTTTTAAGCTTAAGCTTGATTCTAGTTTTATTCTGATTAAGTTTATTTTATTTTTAAGTTTCTGATTTTTTTATTTTGTTTTTACCCCAGTTAAGTTTCAATACAATTTTAAGCTTGATCTTAATTCTGATTTCAAGTTTAATTTATTTATTCTGACCAAGTTTATTTTATATTTATTTTTTTATTCTTAAGATTGAACTTGCTTCTGATTTCAAGTTTTATTTTTTAATTTTAAGCTTGAGCTTAATTCTGATTTTTATTCTGACCAAGTTTAATATTTTTGCCTTGTTGGTGTTTTGTATATTGTTATTCTGTAATCTTTAAAACTTTCTCTCTTCTTTTTCCTTTCTTTCTCTCTCTCGCCTACCTCCTCATTTTACACGTTTTTTTGTCGTTTCATGCAAAATCCAAAAACCGTCAATTTAATCCTTTTATTTTTTATTCTTTTTATTTTAGCTTGCTTAACTTTTCTTTTTCTGCTAATTTCTAAATTTTCAATAAATTATAGTCTCTAAAAATTATAAAATGGCCGCAAATAACGTCGCAAAGTCTGTTGGGCACATTTCCAGAAAAGCTTCCTGTCCTCAACCAAATATGGATTTTGTTTCAGCTGACGTAAACGAAGTTTTGCAGGATGCCCGTGAAATTTTAACAAATAAAGAGCATCGTGAAAAGCATCCGAATGAACGAATTCTGGATGAGTCTACAACCGTCAAAGTTACAAAAACGGGTGGGGATGAAGACCCTATGGAAATTACAGTTTTGCGTCAACGACTTTTGGAACGGGATGAGGAGGAGTTTGAAGCGGTTACGGCAGATAGGGATGATAGAGGTTGTTTTTTTGTTTAAATTTTATTTTTGGGAAGTTTTTAGGATGGTCAAGCGATACGGACCTCGTTTCCCCGCCTCAAAGAACCCGTCTCCCATCAATCCATAAATGCTCACACAATAACAAAAAGGTTCAGAGCAGCGGAAATTTGCCAGAGGAAATGGTTTGAGTTTTATAAATTTTGTATGGAGGTTGGGAAATAGAGGAATATTTTGTTGGGGAGCTTTAAAGTGGAATTTTTCAACTTTTTATTGGGAAATAATTAGGCTTGGTTCTCTGATATTTTTGTTGGGTACTTTTCCGTTCTGCCACACCCCCCTAAATTAATGTTCAAAATGCCATATATGAGGTAAAAAAAGGTACTGAGTCGAACAGTACCACTCTTTTCCCCCGGAGATGCCTTTGGACCAAAATTTTTTGCTCGAAATGGTCAAAAACCATAGGGGGGAGTAAGCTCAATTGTGGGAAAAAAATTCAAATATGCAAATAATACCTCATTCGAAAGAGCTCGTCGAGCTGAGTCGAATGACACCAAAATTAACGAAATCTGATTTGATTTGACCGAGATACAGGTCTCTGAAAATTGAAGAACCACACACATTTTTGTATCGTAACTTGGTCCAAACTTGTTAGACCGCGGTGATTTTGGTGTCTTTCGACTCAGCTCCATGAGCTTTTTCGAATGAGGTATTATTTGCATATTCGAATTTTTTATCCCAAAATTGAGCTTACTCCCCCATATGGTTTTTGACCATTTCGAGCACAATATTTTGGTCCAAAGCCATTTTCGGGGAAAAAGAATGGTACCGTTGGACTCCGCATCTTTCTTTACCCTAAATGTGACATTTTGAACATCAATTTAGGGGGGTGTGGCAGAACGGAAAAGTACCTTTTGTTGTTTTATTGTCGGTCTAACAGCAAATTATTAAATTTTCGGGAGTTTTTAATAATTAGAATTTGGGTATTTTAAATTTGGATTCATAAATTCATGGTGACTTGCAGGCCCGTAGCCAGAAAAAATCTTTGGGAGAGAGGCTGCTGCGTAAAAATCAATCTTGATTTTTACGCAGCAGGCGATTTTGAGAATTTTGGAGGGTTTTAGGCCAAAAAATCTCCTCCCCAAAATAAAAAAAATCTCTCCTCCCCAAAATTTTTTCTTTTTCCCCATTTTTTGTTTTTCTTAGACAAATGAGAGGCACATGAATGTCATTTATCGGCGTCGCCACAAAGAAGATTTTTGGCAAAGAGACGATTTGGTTGGTACAGGAACGGAAATTAGTGACGAAATTCTTAATAATGTTGCTACTCGGGGAGGTGAAGATGATGCTCAATTGAAGGTATTTTTTTTGAATTTTTAGTGAATTTTTATTGTAAAAATTATTTAAAGGTTGAAATAACAGAACATTGCAGGACTGAAACGAGTGGTGCTCATTTAATTCAACAGGTTATTTTAATGATTTTGGGGTTTCAAAGTGAGTTGGGGAGCAGTTCTAGTCAAGCTGAAATTTATTTCGTTAATTTTTAGAGCATTTTAGAAATGGGGTGAGATGGAAATGGATGGACAAAATGCCTAATACTTAAGAAATAACCCGTTATCGGCTTGGGGGGCTACTTCACTTTTATCGACCTAGGAGATCACCGGCAATCCAAAATGACTAACCCTTGCCTCCTAAACTAATTTCTCTTCTAAAACTGACGAGCTTGTCGGATAAGATCTCGATATTTCTTATCCTTGACGCAGCTGACCCCAACTGAATTTTTAAAAATCCAACATTCTCGGCCACCACTAAATAATATTCTTACCCCTCTATCGGCTTGGAGGTCACCGGCAGTCCGAAATGATTACCCTTGCCTCCTAAACTAATTTTTCTTCTAAAACTGACGATTTTGTCAAACGTCATTTTCGATATTCTCATCCTTGACACAGCTCAACCCAACTGAATTTTCTAACAATCCCAACATTTTCGGCCCTCCCCCTCAATATTCTTAAAAATATTGTCTCATTTTTTTCGTTTACAGACTTGGGAAGCTACTTGGACAGTCCAAACATTCCATTCACTTCCAGATTGGCTACAAGACAACGATTTTTTGCATACCGGTCACCGCCCTCCTTTGCCCAGTTTTGCGGCGTGTTTCAAATCAATTTGGTCACTTCATACCGAAACGGGAAATATTTGGACTCATTTAGTTGGCTGTTTGGCATTTTTCTTTCTCGCCCTATGGTTCCTAACACGTCCAGAGACTCATATACAATTTCAGGTTTTTTAAAAAAATTTTGGGATGAAATGTCATCTTTTTATTTTTAAGGAAAAATTGGTTTTTTCTTTCTTTTTTGCTGGTGCCATTCTTTGTCTAGGACTTTCTTTTACATTCCACACAGTTTCTTGTCATTCAAAATATGTTGTGCGGATATTTAGCAGGTTTCTTATAAAAAACTTTGGACACCTTTTGGATATCCCTTCCTCTAGTTTGAGTCTCAGAGTTTTCCTTAAGCTTTACTTAATGGCCAGACTTCCTCAATTCCACTTAATTTCCATGTTTAGCAGAGGTGGGTCGGAATTCCGATTTCCGACGTTTTTTTCCTTTCGATTTCAGAAAAAAAATTTTGATTTCCGAGTTCTGACTTTTGAACTAGTTCTGATTTCCGGCTCTTCCGACCCATTTCCCTGGGAACAGATGATGGTAGGGGTTTTTCCTTCCGATTTCTGACGTTTTTTCTTTCCGAGTTCCAACTTTTGAGCCAGTTCCGGTTTCCGGCTCTTTCGATTTCCGACACCGTTGACTGTTCCAGCCCACCTCTGCTATAGAGGAAGAAAGTCTGATCATTACTCTGATACTCAAATTTCGGATAGGTCGGGGTATTTAAAACTTTCCAAGAAGATTTTTTTTTATCATTTTATTCCACAGACTCGACTACATGGGCATTTCCTTATTAATTGTTGGCTCGTTCATTCCTTGGATTTATTATGGATTTTATTGTAGAAGAGAACCAAAAATTAGTTATATTGCGGTTTCTTTATTTTTATATTATCAAAAAATTTCTTCTTTAGATGATTGGTGTTCTTGGCCTATCCGCTATTGTAGTCTCTCTGTGGGATAAATTTAACGACAAAAGATACAGACCTATGCGTGCAGGAATATTTTCATTTATGGGCTGTAGCGGTATTTTTCTTTTTTTAATTTTTTTTTGGGGTTTTCAACATTATGACATTTTAAAATTTTTCTGCTGACTAGAGATTGGAAATTTTAAATTTTCTGCCTTGAGTTAAGGAAGAGTCAAAGTCAAGGAAAAATCGAAAATAACTGAAAAATGCTTTGATCTTGACTGCGGATTCAGAAAAGATCTAGGACTGGAAGGTGACATTTTGTCCCAAAAAATTTTTCAAAAAAATTTTCTACTTTATGCTACTAGAACGCCTGAACGATTTATCAGTCCCAGGCCATGTCTAGAATAATTACTCATATTTTCTGTTTCGAGGAAAAAAATATTTTGAAAATAAAAGAAAAATAGTTTTGGGAATTGTAATTGGGAAGAAGTTCTGAAAGGGGGAAATTCAGGGATTCAAATTCATCACGAGTCTTTAAAAAATAAGAATAATTTTTTCAAGGCTTTTTTAAATTAAAAAATATTTTTTTCAGGAGTAGTTCCAACAATTCATTTTGCATACACTGATGGAATGCATCGATTAATTGAAGATAATAGTTTTTATTGGCTTATAGCAATGGCTTTGCTTTATTTATTTGGGGTTGTACTTTATGCTACTAGAACGCCTGAACGATTCTTTCGTAAGAAAATTAAAAAAATTTTTTAATAAAAAATTTTTTGGGACTCCTATTTAATTTATGGGGTCTTAAAATAATTTTGGAAGGTGGCATTTTGTCCCAAAAATTCCAAAAAAATTTTTTTAAATCAAGAAAAAATTAATTTTTCTTTTAGCTGGAAAATGCGACTTGGTTTTCCAGTCCCATCAGCTTTTCCATCTCTGCGTTGTCTGTGCTGCTTTTGCTCATTATTATGGAATTTCTAATGTAAAAAATTTGGAAGGATTTTTAAAAAATAATTTTTTGAAATTTTTTAGATGGCAATGAAAAGACTGACAGGTACATGTCCTGGCCACCACGACTCAGTGGCATCTGTTGTACAACACAATGAACTTTAGAAAATTTAGGAAAAAATATTATTATTTGTAATATTTCTGTTAGAAATTTGGCTGTTTATTGAGAATATTTTAATTAATTATAGGGGTGCTTTCCTCCTTTTATGTTTTAAATAGTAATGGGTGACTAGGCTATTTTAAAAATCAGAATTTTAGAATATTTTTGGGTTCAAGATTAAGTTTCTGATTTTGGTTTTTATAAACTTAAGTTTATCAAAACTTAAGTTTAAGTTTAAACTTGAATTAAATCAACTTGACCAGAATAAACTTAAAGGTACAAACTCAAAAACTTAAATATCTGATTTAAGTTTGTGATTTTAAGTTTCTGATTTCAACATAAACTTAAGGGTATAAAATAAAATCAGAAACTTGAGTTACAAATGAATTCACAAGCCCGAAAACTTAAGTGTATAATTCTGTTTAAGTTTCTGATTTCAAGTTTAAAATTCAAGTTTCTGATTTTATACGCTTAAGTTTGAGTTTCTCATTTTAAAATTTTGATTTTAATTAGTCTAAACTTTGTTCTATTTCTTCAATAGTAGACTTAAGTTTCTGGTTTAATTATTATGTCACCAATTGTCTGATTACTCAACCTGTATTAGGCCAATACTTTCTACTTTTAATAGTACTGGTTTATTTTTTGGGTGATTTCTTTTCTTTTAGCTGACCGAATTTTTTTCGAATGTTTTAGTAATTTTGGTATTTTTATTGTACCTTTTAAAAGACCGGAAATTGTTTAAAAAATTTAATTTTTAATGACCCGAGTTCTTTTTCCCTTAATTTTCTCAAAATTTAATACTTGCTTTCCGCTTCTTTTCTTAATTACTTTTTGAACTGTAACAGAGTCGGGTGTTTATTTTTTAAGAATATCTGCTTTCCTTTTTTAAAATTACATTAGTTAAGCAAGCAATGTTTCTCGAACAGTTTCACTTTGTTTAATAAAGATTTTCTTTTGTATTAATTTTTAATGAAAATGATGTTAATCAACATTACTATTTTTCGTTTGCGAAAATATTTTTAAATTTTATTTTTTTGTTTCAGATTTCTTTTCTAATTTGAAGATGAATCCTTCCGTTTTAATGAGATTCTGGTCTCTTTTGGCTTTTGCAATGTATCATTGTGCTTATAAATAAAAGTTGGCTTCAATAATTTGGTGTTTACTATCTATTTTATGGTTAACTCTAATGTATCCCAAGGTTGTGTTCTGGATCAAATTTTATTTTTTACATTATTTTTAGTAGATACGTATACGGTCATTAGTTGGTTAATAAACAAATTCTACGCAAAAATCCAATCAATTTAATGAATAAGTTGGTATCCATTTTATGGTTAGCTCTATTGTATCTGGAGGTTGTGTTCTGGATTAAATTTTATTTTTTACATTATTTTTTTAGTAGATACAGTCATTAGTTAATGAAGAAATTTTACTCAAAAATTCAATCAATTGAACGAATCATTTGGTATTGAACTATAGTGGATTCATTTATCAATTTTCTGTTAACGATGTTTAAAAGTCATGATTAACTATTCGTCGACTGTGTTTATGTATATCACTGGTGAAAATTTTTTTGAACGATGATTTTTTGGATTATATAAAATTTCTGTAAATGTATGGCCTAATTTGTTATAAAAACATTATTTATTTGCTTAATAAAAGGAGAAAATTTTTTGGGTCTTTTTATTAGTAAATTGATTTTTTCATCTCATTTTCCCATTTTCTTTTTGGGTCCGAATAGTATAAACATATTCATAGTAATGTGTATACAAAAAAGAAACAAACCATTAATTTTTGTTGAATGAAATTGGTGGTTTGGGGGATCATTTGCTGCTCTAGCGCCAATTTTTTTGCGGTCGGATGACAGACAGCAAAAAAGAGCATTTTTATTGTTCAACGGCTGTTTTCTCAGGGACATTTAATCATTTATTTCCGCCTGATTTATTAAAATTTTTCCTTTTATTTTTTAAAGGGGGAAGTATTTATTCACTTTGGAGGAATTTTCTGATTTTTTTACTTTAATTTTTAATGTTTCACGCAATTAAACTTAACACAATTATTTGTTTATTTGTGTTAAGAAATGATTAGTATTTATTTCATATTTTTGAGAATTTTTGATTCATCAGGACTTAAGATAAGTTGCTTCTTTATACCATTGGTGGCTTCCTTTAAGTATAGCAAAGGGATGAGTCATGTGTCGGGTTAAGAAAAATAGAGCTCTTGTACATATTACGCGTCCAATGATAGTTTTATGCGTCCAAACAAATTTTTATGCGTCCGATCTATGTTAATAAGTACTCGGCACGCTTAAAGGTGCGATTGGACGCGTAATCTGGACAAAAGCCAAAAAGGGGTTCTAGACAGGTTTTTTAAACATTTCCCGGGTCTGGGATGGATTCGGGTCAAAAAAGTCCTAGTTTTGGATAACCCGACCCATCCTTGCCCACCCTTGCTTTATACATACATATGGGCATACATCTTTTTCAATTTTTGTAACAAAAATTTCAAAAATTTTTTGTTGACTTAAATAGACTCATCATTCCTTTCTTAAAAATAAAAATTGAACAAATACATATTTTGTAAAAATATTTGTTTTTACAAAAATATTTGTTTTGACCCTGATGCATTTTTTAAATTTATTTGTTTTGGCTGCATTTTTGAGTTGTTTTCACAACTGCTATAAATATCGAAAAAAATATTTTTTAAATAAATAAATTATTTTTTCCTTAAAAATCCTTTAAAGTCTCCTTAATTATTATGACTCATCATTATACCCAATTTGGGATTATTGAACAACCACAACAAAATTCCTTCCATAATATTGTCCCCTTCGACCCATACAATTGGGAAAACTTCTTCTTCGGCCTTCTAGACCGAAACGATGCCGAGGCTCTTTTACAGGGGACTGAAGTTAGCACTTTTCTGATGCGTGAATCGACATCAGAACAGGGGTACTCGTTAAGTGTCAAGTTGGTTTTTTGGAATTTTTTTGGTTATTTTCTAAAATAATTAGGGAAACAAGTGATCGAGTGAACCATTATTTGATAAAGCGTGAACAGCAAGAAGATGGAAAACAGAGATTTGTGGTATTAAATTATTTTTTTGGGAGAGTATTTTTTAAGTTTTCTTAAAATATTTTTTTTTATTTTTGACTTTAAAAAATTTTCAAAAAATTTTTTAAAATTGTGGATAAAAAATGTGGGCATTTTGGGAACATAAAGAAAAAAAGTAAAAAAAATTTTTTTTACTTTTTGACTTTAAAATTTTTCAGAAATTTTTAAAAAATTTTTCAAAAAATTTTTTTAAAAAGTGTGGGCATTTTGGGAACATAATGGAAAAGTAATGGAAAAGAAAAAATTTTTTTTATTCAATTTTACTTAAAAAATTATTAAAATTTCAAAATAAAAATTTGTATTTTTGGTTATTTTTATACTCCCAAAAAGTCCGAAAGTTATAGAATTATTTTTGAAAAAAATATTTTTTAAGAGAAAATTTTCACTTAAAATCAAAAAAAAATTAAAAAAAATTTTTTTAATAAAATTTTTTAAACAAAGATTTCCAATAATGTTGTGTTCGTGGACATTCCTTCACTCCTCAGCCATTACAAACTTCGAAAACTCGATTCAACTCCACTTATCTTCCCATTAGGAAGACCTTCAATCGAAAAAGTTATTGGAAGGTTTTTCTTTGAATATTAAATTTTATTTTAAATTAAAAATAAAATTAAAGATTCAAGTTTGAAGGTGAACGAATTAGTGATTTGCCTTTTGATAGAGGGGAAATACTTGAAGTTTTGAGTAAACCTGAAGAGCGGTGGTGGATGGCAAGGTTGTGGAAATTATTTGGAAAACTTTGGAAAATTTTTGGAATTTCGAAAAAAATTTTTCAGAAATTTTCGAAAAAATTTTTTTTTGAAATTTTTGAAAATTTTGGGCTTTCAAAAATTATTTCCAAAAAAATATTTTCGGAAAATTTTTTTAAAAAATTCCAAAAATATTTTTTCCACATAATAAAATAATTTTTAAGCAATTGTCTCGGAAATACCGGCTTAATCCCTGCTAATTATGTTAAAATTTATGAGGAAGGCGACGAGATTAGCCTTCAAAATTTAAGCTCAAAAAGCAGTGGAAGTACTGGTAAACGTTATAGTGCTAATTCTGTGGAGAGCAATAATAATGTTAACGAACAGCAACAATCGAATAAGGTATGGGAATGTTTAAAAATCAGAGTTTGTAAAAAATAAAAAACAAAATTTGTAAAAATAAAAATCAGAATTTGCATAGAATAAACAGCTTTGTAAAAATAAAATTCAGAATTTTAAATAACAGAATTTGTAAAAATCAGAATTTGTAAAATTAAAAATTAGAATTTGTAAAACATAAACAGATTTGTAAAAGTAAAATTCAGAATTTGTAAAAATAAATCGGAATTTGTAAAAATCAGAATTTGTAAACAAATAAAAAACTATAAAAATCAGAATTAAAAAAAATAAACAGAATTTGTAAATGTAGAAATATAAACAGAATTTGTAGAAATAAAAATCAGAATTTATAATAAACAGTTTTAAAATCAAAACATCAAATATTAAATTTTCTAAAACAAATGAAAAACTATTTAAAATTTTTACTTTTAATTAAACTTTAAAGCTGACAACAAATTCTTGGGTCAGAGTGATAGCTGATCGTTGCCCCAGCATTTATGATGTGGCAGCATTGAGCATAAGGGTTTCTAATTTAATTAACATTCCCAAATTTTTTTCCAAATTCTAGCAGGGCCAACTCCTCTGGGTTCAGGAATTGTTGTCCAATGGAATGTGCAAAGGTGCAAATGAGGACGGCAAGGCAGGATTATTCCCTATTACCTATGTTGAACCCGTTGGAGTTACACCTGAAGCAGCAATGCCCGCAATAGACCATTCTTCTACTCAGTTTTTGAGTTGATTTTAATGAAAACTATTAATTTATCAATCTGAAAAATGCTTTTTTATTCTTTTCATTTTGCCTTAATCTCTTATATTACATTGTATTTAAATCATATCATTAAGCTAATAATTTTTTACGCAAGCAATCCCAGCATTTTATGTACATTTTAAATTGTAAATTTAACCTTTTTTCAGAATTTGTAATTAAAATTCAGAATTTGTAATTAATTAAAATTCAGAATTTGTAATCAATTAAAATTCAGAATTTGTAATTTATTAAAATTCAGAATTTGTAATTTATTAAAAATCAGAATTTGTAATTTATTAAAATTCAGAATTTGTAATTTATTAAAATTCAGAATTTGTAATTTATTAAAATTCTGAATTTGTAATAAATTACAAATTATGAATTGCAACTTCTGAATTTTAATTAATTACAAATTCTGAGTTTGTAATGTTAAAAAATTCAGCATTTGTAATTTATTACAAATTATGTATTTGAAATTCAGAATTTGTAAATTGTGCTTGTTTATTATGTATATTTATTATTTCTGATAACTTGTATTTATTTCAGCCTTAATATCCAAAAATATAAATTTAATTAATAATCACAAAGATATTTGTAATATTTACACATTGCATTTTACTCGTATTTTCTTATATGTACTATTTTTGCATTTGTAAAATATAAGTTAAAATTTATTTTGTTGTTATCTAATTATTAAAATAATTCGTTGATTATTTTTATTTTAACTAAAAATTCATTTTTCCTTAAAAATAATTTATCAAGTTCTCTTTAATTTCAATTAAAAGTTTAAAAATAAAATTCATTTAAATTCTATGGATTTTGAGTACATCACTGAAAACGTTGCTGGACCTGGTTTAGATCCGGGTTGCTTAGAGGATCAATTTGAAGGGTGTTCATGTGTTGGAGAGTGCAGTGCTACTAGTAAATGTTCATGCATTTTTAATGGATTGGTTTGTATTTGCTAAATTGTAACTTAATAAATTCAGAATTTGTAAATTGCGAATTGGGATTGTAATAATAAACCTGTAAATTATTATTTCAATTTAAAAACCAGAATTATTAAAATCGGTTTCGGAAAAAATATTAGAATCAGAATTTGTAATTTATTAAAATCAGAATTTGTAATTTATTAAAATCAGAATTTGTAATTTATTAAATTTATAATTTATTAAAAATCAGAATTTGTAATTTATTAAAAATCAGAATTTGTAATTTATTAAAATTCAGAATTTGTAATTTATTAAAATTCAGAATTTGTAATTTATTAAAAATCAGAAATTGTAATTTATTAAAAATCAGAATTTGTAATTTATTAAAAATCAGAATTTGTAATTTATTAAAATTCAGAATTTGTAATTTATTAAAAATCAGAAATTGTAATTTATTAAAAATCAGAATTTGTAATTTATTAAAATCAGAATTTATAATTTATTAAAAATCAGAATTTGTAATTTATTAAAATTCAGAATTTGTAATTTATTAAAATCAGAATTTAATTTTTTAAAAATCAGAATTTATATTTTATCAAAAATCAGAATTTGTAATTTATTAAAATCAGAAATTGTAATTTATTAAAATTCAGAATTTGTAATTAATTAAAAATCAGAAATTGTAATTTATTAAAAATCAGAATTTGTAATTTATTAAAATTCAGAATTTGTAATTTATTAAAATCAGAATTTAATTTTTTAAAAATCAGAATTTATATTTTATCAAAAATCAGAATTTGTAATTTATTAAAATTCAGAATTTGTAATTTATTAAAATTCAGAATTTGTAATTTATTAAAAATCAGAAATTGTAATTTATTAAAAATCAGAATTTGTAATTTATTAAAACCAGAATTTATAATTTATTAAAAATCAGAATTTGTAATTTATTAAAACCAGAATTTATAATTTATTAAAAATCAGAATTTATAATTTATTAAAAATCAGAATTTATAATTTATTAAAAATCAGAATTTGTAATTTATTAAAACCAGAATTTATAATTTATTAAAAATCAGAATTTGTGATTTATTAAAATCAGAATTTGTAATTTATTAAAAATCAGAATTTGTAATTTATTAAAATCAGAATTTATAATTTATTAAAAATCAGAATTTGTAATTTATTAAAAATCAGAATTTGTAATTTATTAAAACCAGAATTTATAATTTATTAAAAATCAGAATTTGTGATTTATTAAAATCAGAATTTGTAATTTATTAAAAATCAGAATTTGTAATTTATTAAAATCAGAATTTATAATTTATTAAAAATCAGAATTTGTAATTTATTAAAATTCAGAATTTGTAATTTATTAAAATCAGAATTTAATTTTTTAAAAATCAGAATTTATATTTTATCAAAAATCAGAATTTGTAATTTATTAAAATCAGAATTTAATTTTTTAAAAATCAGAATTTATATTTTATCAAAAATCAGAATTTATATTTTATCAAAAATCAGAATTTGTAATTTATTAAAATTCAGAATTTGTAATTTATTAAAATTCAGAATTTGTAATTTATTAAAAATCAGAAATTGTAATTTATTAAAAATCAGAATTTGTAATTTATTAAAACCAGAATTTGTAATTTATTAAAATCAGAATTTGTAATTTATTAAATTTATAATTTATTAAAAATCAGAATTTATAATTTATTAAAAATCAGAATTTATAATTTATTAAAAATCAGAATTTGTAATTTATTAAAACCAGAATTTATAATTTATTAAAAATCAGAATTTGTGATTTATTAAAATCAGAATTTGTAATTTATTAAAAATCAGAATTTGTAATTTATTAAAATCAGAATTTATAATTTATTAAAAATCAGAATTTGTAATTTATTAAAAATCAGAATTTGTAATTTATTAAAACCAGAATTTATAATTTATTAAAAATCAGAATTTGTGATTTATTAAAATCAGAATTTGTAATTTATTAAAAATCAGAATTTTTAATTTATTAAAATCAGAATTTATAATTTATTAAAAATCAGAATTTGTAATTTATTAAAATTCAGAATTTGTAATTTATTAAAATCAGAATTTAATTTTTTAAAAATCAGAATTTATATTTTATCAAAAATCAGAATTTGTAATTTATTAAAATCAGAAATTGTAATTTATTAAAATTCAGAATTTGTAATTAATTAAAAATCAGAATTTGTAATTTATTAAAATTCAGAATTTGTAATTTATTAAAATCAGAATTAACTTTAAATAGCCTAATTACGATAAGGATGGCCGCTTTTTTCATTCACCAAATTCTGATTCATGTTCGGTTCATTTGGAATGTTCTAACAATTGCGAATGTGCCCTCTGTCCAGAAAAATGTACAAATAGGAATATTCAATTTGGAATTAAGTTTAAATTGAAGGTGTGAATTTAAAAAAAATTTTCTATTTTGAAAAATATTTTTTAATAAAAGGTAGCAAAATGTGATTCAGAACAGAAAGGTTTTGGGGTATTTGCTCAGGAAAAGATACCTGCTGGACACTTTGTGGTTGAATATGTGGGTGAACTTGTTTCAAAGGAAGAGGCAGAAGGGAGGTTAACTAGTCAACAACATCACAACTATCTTTTTACAATTAGAGAATTTATTGGGGGTACATAGATTTATTTTTATTTTTACATTAAATTAAAGAAAATGTGATCCTTTAAGATTCCTTTAAAACTAAAAATTAATTCCCTTTTTCCTCATTTTTTTAAAATTTTATAAAGGGAAGTGAAAAGGCGATAGTCAGATAGAACCCTTCGCGCATGCAGAAAGTAGGGCTGGATGCGGCACAATCGTTCCCTTCGGTATGGGTTCATCCTACTATGGGATTTCCAATCTCCCATTCAAAGAATTTTTCAACTCGGGACAAACTTTAATGTTTCTTACTGCTCCTGTTAGGAATTTTCCTGTCCAGATTTTACTATTCCTATTAATATATGCTTAAGTACCTAAGCCTGCGTAATTTAACTACCATTAAGGCTTCACGACAGAGATCTAGTCTTTAGAAACTTAAAGTTCTAAAATCGGAACTCCTAGTTTTTTCCTGTTCCTTTTACTCTTGTATTGTCCTGCAAGGAGTAAAATTTATTTTACAGGGTCAAATTTTCATTAATCATTTAAAATTAAAAATTCAAAAAATAAACTTAGGTGAATGTCGGTACACTTTTATTGACGGACGTTACAAAGGGAACATTTCTCGTTTTATTAATCATAGCTGTGAGCCAAATTTGTTTCTGCAAGTATTTCGTTTAGGAAGGGCTTCCCTTCATTGGCAATGTTTGCAAGTCGAGATATTTTGGAAGGTCGATTTTTAAATTAAATTTGGCCTCTTGGAGATTTATATTTTTGGGGATTTCTCTACTAGAATATACATAGTCTTTTCTTAGAAAATAGAAATGTCACTGTTATTGGTGAGAATAAAGCAATTATTCGAGCTAAAATGATTGGTACTAAAATTGATGAGGACCCGAAATTATCCAGCTAGTATGGCTGAGGCTGTACTCACATCACGGCTCCCAGGGGAATTCAGAAAACTTCCGATGTCCATGACCCTGGTCCGATCAACGCCTATAAGGAATTATCTTTTTAATAAATAAGAGTAAGATTTAGTAGTAAAAACTATATTTAATAAAATTATTTATTCAAAAATCAAAGAAAAATTTGAAGAATTATTTTTTTTAAATTTTTTGGAATGCTTTCTTCAAAATATTTTTTCTCAACTTCACATGTGTTTATTCTCTTCAATTCTTAATTTAAAATTTAAACAGTTTTAGCTCTTCCGCCACACTTAGTTGAAACAGTACCATCCTTCTTTTTAATCACAAAATCATTTCCATTAATTTTAAGTTTAGTTTCATGAGTTTCCTTGTCATAATTAACAAGTTCAATAACACACTTATTTCCAGAAAACAATTTAGCATCTTTGAAAGGAACAGTAATTTCAGTTCCTTTTTCAGTTTCGAAAATTAATTTTCCATTTAATTCATCTCCGGTTATTTTACATTTGGTTTCGCCATTATTAATTTTAACGGTACAAGGCTCTTGGTTGTCCACATTTAAGGTCATTTGAGTATTTTTGAATATTTGAGCATTTCCAGACATTTTTAGAGAATTTTGTACATCTGGTTTGTTTGCTTTTGCTGGGGGAATTTTGTCTTTGTCCCCTAAATGAATAAGGGTTCCAACCTCCTTACAGCTCGAGGTAGAGGCCTTTCGATCGCCTGTTCCCTCAGCTATGGCAATAAAAGCCAATGAAATGATTAGAAGGGTAGAAGTGAAGAGAGGAGCCATTTTAGAGTTGTTTTGTGGTGTTTTGTGGATTTTTAAATTGTTGAGGAGATTGTTTGATTGTTGGATAGCTAATTAATTGGTGTTTATATATTAATGGACTTTGATGGTTTGAAAGTTTCGTTATAATTTCATCATATCACTTTTGAAAAGTGCAATTACATTATGTTATACATCATATTACGTGTTATAAAATTGGTGAATCTATCATGTAATATGATGTATAACATAATGTAATTGCACTTTTCAGAAGTCCATTAGTATATAAACACCAATTAATTAGCTATCCAACCATCAAACAATCTGCTCAACAATTTAAAAAACTCAAAAAACACACCAAAACAACTCTAAAATGTCTCTCCTCTACACTTCTACCCTTCTAATTATTTCATTGGCTTTTATTGCCATAGCTGAGGGAACAGGCGATCGAAAGGCCTCTACCTCGAGCTGTAAGGAGGTTTGAACCCTTATTCATTTAGGGGACAAAGACAAAATTCCCCCAGCAAGAGCAAACAAACCAGATGTACAAAATACTCTAAAAATGTCTGGAAATGCTCAAATATTCAAAACTACTCAAGTGACCTTAAATGTGGACAACCAAGAGCCTTGTACCGTTAAAATTAATAATGGCGAAACCAAATGTAAAATAACCGGAGATGAATTAAATGGAAAATTAATTTTCGAAACTGAAAAAGGAACTGAAATTTCTGTTCCTTTCAAAGATGCTAAATTGTTTTCTGGAAATAAGTGTGTTATTGAACTTGTTAATTATGACAAGGAAACTCATGAAACTAAACTTAAAATTAATGGAAATGATTTTGTGATTAAAAAGAAGGATGGTACTTTGTCAACTAAGTGTGGCGGAAGAGCTAAAACTGTTTAAATTTTAAAAGTTTGAATTGAAAGAGGAAGAGAATATAAACAAATGTGAAGATGAGAAAAAATATTTTGAAGAAAGCATTACAAAAAATTAAAAAAAAATAATTCTTCAAACTTTTCTTTGATTTTTGAATAAATTATTTTATAAATCTTTATTTGTATACCTAATTTCTTTAACAAAAACTCGAACCAGGGCTTGAACCAGCATGAAGAGCTGAGTAAGATAAGCCCTAAACATCTGATTTTGAACTTTTACCCCGAATTCAACTTGGTCGAATTCGGGTCCCGGATTCGAAATAAACAAATTTTAAGCTTAGATTCGGACTTAACACACTCGTTTATTTACTGGCAAGCCTCAAAAATACCGAAGGAGCATTTTTTACTAATTCTTTCTAGGGACCAATGATCTTAAGGATTACCGAAGGTCCTTCTCCATCTGATAATGTTTCTACGTCGATTTTATCGTCAATACAATATTATAAAAAGAATTCATTCTTAAATAATAATTACGAATATACGTACGAGAATATTAATAAAAATTATGAATTATATTTTCACCTCTAAAAGGGTTATTCAATTAACTGGATCATTTAAATAGAGCGGGTCATTATATTTTTCAATAGCCTCAAAAAATTTAATTAGAGTAAATACGGTATTTTGTGATTAGTTGGTGGGGTAAAAGTGGATTTGAGGGATATAAAGGGATTATTTCGGGTTATAAAGGTTTTCTGAATTGATCAAGGGGACCTAAAAGATATCATTGGATTAAGGTTGGATAACGGAATTTGATGGAATAATGACGAATGAGTCATATTAGATGATTTTGGTAAATCATGGATAAATCATGGAGGAGGGGATAAATCATGGAGGAGGGTTGAAAAATAGTACTCCCCCCTGAATTAGTACTCTTCCTACTCCCCTTTGGAGGAGTGAAAAATAGTACTCCCGGGAGTACTATTTCAAGAAATACTATATTATTCTAAAAACTACTCGAGCTTGGAAATGCCAACAATATCGTACATTAGGAGCAACTCAGGAAACTTCCTAAAGCCCTGGTTCGAGTTTTTGTTAAAAAAATTAGGTATACAAATAAAGATTTATAAAATAATTTATTCAAAAAATAAATGATTTGAAGAAATATTTTTTTGATTATTTTTTTGTAATGCTTTCTTCAAAATATTTTTTCTCAACTTCACATTTGTTTATATTCTCTTCCTCTTTCAATTCACACTTTTAAAATTTAAACAGTTTTAGCTCTTTCACCACACTTAGTTGAAACAGTACCATCCTTCTTTTTAATCACAAAATCATTTCCATTAATTTTAAGTTTAGTTTCATGAGTTTCCTTTTTTTTTCATGACTCATGAAACTAAACTAGTTTCATGACTCATGAAACTAAACTTAAAATTAATGGAAATGGTTTTTGATTAAAAAGAAGGATGGTACTGTGTCAACTAAGTGTGGTGGAAGAGCTAAAACTGTTTGAATTTTAAAAGTGTGAATTGAAAGAGGAAGAGAATATAAACAAATGTGAAGATGAGAAAAAATATTTTGAAGAAAGCATTCCAAAAATAATCAAAAAAATTAATTCTTCAAATTTTTCTTTGATTTTTGAATAAATTATTTTATTAACTTTATTTGTATAACTAATTTCTTTAACAAAAACTCGAACAAGGGCTTTAGGAAGTTTCCCTAAGTTGCCCCAAATTACTGATATAGATGGCAATTCCAAGCTCGAGTAGTTTTTGGAACAATATACCGTATTTCCTGTAATAGTAAACCCCCTTAATTAGTACTCCCCCCTCAAATAATACTCCCCTTTGGAGGAGGGTTCAAAAATAGTACTCCCCCCTGAATTAGTAATCCCCCCTTAAATAATACTCCCCCTATAATATTTTCCTCTATATTTGAAAAAAATAATAAAAAAGGGCAAATTTTACTTGTGAATTTGTATTTTATTTAGGTTTAAGAAGATATATTGTGATTAGTTGGTGGGTAAATGTGGATTTGAGGGATATAAAGGGTTTATTTCGGATTATAAAGGAGTTATGAATTATCAAGGGGACCTAAAAGATATCATTGGATTAAGGTTGGATAAAGGAATTTGTGGGAATATTTACGAATGAGTCATATTAGATGATTTTGCTTGATTAACCCCGACATATCCGCCCCCGAGCGTTCGGGGTGCATCCTAATTAAGATTGATCAGGAAATAAAATTGAATCATGAATCCTCCTCAATCCACCGTTATTTCTTCTCTACCTCTAATCCAAAAATCCTCAGCTATCCAACACACTGATCCCCTGCTTACGTTATTTGATCACTTTATAGGGATTATTTCGGGTTATTTTTATTTTTTTTGATATCACAAGATTCAAATATCATAAGGCTCAATTTTATACTAATTTGTGTATTTGCGAATTATTTATAAAGGAATTAGTTTGAAAATCCAAATTCGGATTCGGCATTTTTCAAATTACGAACTCTAATTGATTTGAACATTTAGAATATTGAAATAAATTTTCATGAGATAAATCATGGAGGAGTGTTGAAAAATAGTACTCCCCCCTGAATTAGTACTCCCCCCTATAATAATACTCCCCTTTGGAGGAGTGTTGAAAAATAGTCCTTTATCCAACCTTAATCCAATGATATCTTTTAGGCCCCATGATCAATTCAGAACTATATTGTTCCAAAAACTACTCGAGCTTGGAAATGCCAACAATATCGTACATTAGGAGCAACTTAGGAAACTTCCTAAAGCTCTGGTTCGAGTTTTTGTTAAAAAAATTAGGTATACAAATAAAGATTTATAAAATAATTTATTCAAAAATAAAAGAAAAATTTGAAGAATTAATTTTTTTGATTATTTTTGGAATGCTTTCTTCGAAATATTTTTTCTCATCTTCACATTTGTTTATATTCTCTTCCTATTTCAATTCACACTTTTAAAATTTAAACAGTTTTAGCTCTTCCGCCACACTTAGTTGAAACAGTACCATCCTTCTTTTTAATCACAAAATCATTTCCATTAATTTTAAGTTTAGTTTCATGAGTTTCCTTGTCATAATTAACAAGTTCAATAACACACTTATTTCCAGAAAACAATTTAGCATCTTTGAAAGGAACAGTAATTTCAGTTCCTTTTTCAGTTTCGAAAATTAATTTTCCATTTAATTCATCTCCGGTTATTTTACATTTGGTTTCGCCATTATTAATTTTAACGGTACAAGGCTCTTGGTTGTCCACATTTAAGGTCACTTGAGTAGTTTTGAATATTTGAGCATTTCCAGACATTTTTAGAGTATTTTGTACATCTGGTTTGTTTGCTCTTGCTGGGGGAATTTTGTCTTTGTCCCCTAAATGAATAAGGGTTCCAACCTCCTTACAGCTCGAGGTAGAGGCCTTTCGATCGCCTGTTCCCTCAGCTATGGCAATAAAGGCCAATGAAATGATTAGAAGGGTAGAAGTGAAGAAGTGAGTCATTTTAGAGTTGTTTTGGGGTGTTTTTTTGAGTTTGTTGGTGTTGAGGAGATTGTTTGATGGTTGGATAGCTAATTAATTGGTGTTTATATATTAACGGACTTTGGGGGGAAGATTTTTCGTTATAATTTCATCATATCACTTCTTAAAAGTGCAATTATATTATGTTATACATCATATTACGTGTTATAAAATTGGTAAATCTATCACGTAATATGATGTATAACATAATGTAATTGCACTTTTCAGAAGTCCATCAATATATAAACACCAATTAATTAGCTATCCAACCATCAAACAATCTCCTCAACAATTTAAAAATTCACAAAACACCCCAAAACGACTCTAAAATGGCTCATCTCTTCACTTCTACCCTTCTAATCATTTCATTGGCTTTTATTGCCATAGCTGAGGGAACAGGCGATCGAAAGGCCTCTACCTCGAGCTGTAAGGAGGTTGGAACCCTTATTCATTTAGGTGACAAAGACAAAATTCCCCCAGCAAAAGCAAACAAACCAGATGTACAAAATACTCTAAAAATGTCTGGAAATGCTCAAACATTCAAAAATACTCAAGTGACCTTAAATGTAGACAACCAAGAGCCTTGTACCGTTAAAATTAATAATGGCGAAACCAAATGTAAAATAACCGGAGATGAATTAAATGGAAAATTAATTTTCGAAACTGAAAAAGGAACTGAAATTTCTGTTCCTTTCAAAGATGCTAAATTGTTTTCTGGAAATAAGTGTGTTATTGAACTTGTCACTTATAACAAGGAAACTCATGAAACTAAACTTAAAATTAATGGAAATGATTTTGTGATTAAAAAGAAGGATGGTACTGTTTCAACTAAGTGTGGTGGAAGAGCTAAAACTGTTTAAATTTTAAAAGTTTACAAATGTGTTTACAAATGTGAAGTTGAAAAAAAATATTTTGAAGAAAGCATTCAAAAAAATTATCAAAAACATAATTCTTCAAATTTTTCTTTGATTTTTGAATAAATTATTTTATAAATCTTCCTTTTATTTTAATATATCTAATTCCTTTTAACAAAACATAGCTTTGGAAGTACCCTTAAGTTGTTTCTAAGGACACTGATATTGTTGGCTATTCCAATCATGAGTAGTTTTTATAACAATATAATATACAATATTTTATTTACAAAGATAACAATTCCTTATAGGTTACGGAGAACCCACTTTGGGCGTTTTGTCGAGTTCTAAATAATCCAATCTGTTTAGTTGTCGTTGAATAACTCGATAGGAGAAAAATCTGTTGGGGCCCAAAATGTTATTCTTCTAAAATAAAGGTCGTTGGACATGTTGCTATGGTTTTGTTAAGTTACCCTCATCGGGAACAAGCATTCATTTTTCTATATACGATTTCTTCATTCCGAATTAAAAAAATTATTTAAGGAGAAGAATTAAGCTATAGCTATGGGTTTCTTTCAAATGAAGCAGAACAGCAACAGCAAAATGTTAATTTATCTCCAAATTCCGTAATACTTTCTTTGAAGAAATGTTTTTGTGGGTCAGCTAACTGTAAAGGGAGGCTGCCTTCTGCTTTAAATATTTGATACTAAATTCTCTAAATTTGTGATATGTATATGTAATGAATAATTTTTACAATCGAAAAACATTCTACGAAAAATTTTTTTCTTACTTTTTTATATAAAACAAGAAAAACTTACCCAAAAAATTTATGCAAAAAAATTTTTAAAACAAAGATGAATAAATACGTGTAAATTTAATAAAAGAAAAATGAAACTGTCTTGAAAAAAAGATTGTAAAATTTTTGGCTTTCAAATTCACTTTAGACTAAGAATAATATACGTTTATAAAGTTATCCCAAGGGTTGACAAAATCTTTGGAAATTTCAAATCGAAAAAAATATTTTATGCTTACCCCGAGGAATTTTCAAGTTTTCGTGTTAAGTCGAGTTACGGTATACCCAGTTGAGAATATAAAAAATTCTCAACATTATACTGAGTGAGAGACAGTTTTAGGCTTCACAGAAGCGGGTTAAATAAATGTTTAAAAAATCTTTTATGTACATTCGTCCAATGTTTCTTGGTTTGTTTTTAATCGAAACTCCATAACTCATATAACTTGTTTGCTCCTTATGCTTTTCATTTTACTTTAATCTTTTTTCTGATGCTTTTCGTCATGTTTTTTACCCAAATTTTTGCCAAATTTTTCAAGTTTACGGCCAACACGATATAATAATCCATCCTTTTCAAATCTTTCAAAGAAACGCTTTATCGAGTCGTCTGCACTTTCATTTTTTGTAAAATGATTCAATGCTTTGTTAAACATTTTGACTATATCATCTATATCAAGGTTATATTCAAACTTAACGTGTAAAAGTTTGAAAGTTCCTTTATGACCTTCGCATACATTCTCTAAATATTCTACAAATTTTTTGTTGTTTTTGAAAGTTTTGTGGAGACTTGACGTAATATCGCACATTTTAATGTTTTCCAGGAATTTTAAAAAATCATTATTTTTCAATGTTTCCAAATACCCATGCAATTTCTTTAAAAAATTTTGATTTAGAAATTTTTCCAAATTTTAAAGTCGGATGTGATTACGGCCAATGGCCAATCCGATAATAAATAAAAAATTAATAAATAATAATTTTTTTAAATTTTGAATTGATTTTAGTGATCTTATATTAGGAGTGGAATTTTAAATGAAAAGAGGTTAGCCCGAGATCGAGAAATAGTTTTTGAAATTTGAATAAAATCGGATTTTTAATGATTTGTTTACATAATATTAAGCAGTTCTAAAAAATTTCAAATATTTTCAAAATGGATTTCCAAATAAATATTTCGATATTGTAGTAAACCTTTGGACATTATTTATAAAATTATATAAATTCACAGACCTCAAACTTTTGCTTCTTTCTTTCCGATTTTTCCGGATCGTTTTTTACAATTTGGTAGCGATGGTTAAAATGTTTAACAAACTTTTCAAACGTTAAAACATCCTTAAAGAATGTTGGAATTTGACTATCTAATTTATATATATCTCCAATTGTGTTAATATATATAAATAGTTTGTTAGCATCAGTTAAAGTTTCAATAACAGGAAGTGCATCCTTCTCAAATTTATCAAAATTTCCAATTTGACGTGCTTCTTCTTTTAAAGCTTCGATCTCTTTAGCAATATCTATCTCTTTTTCCATATCCATTTCTTGTTCATCCACTTTTTCTAATTTTTGATAGGCAAAATTTTCTTCCCCGGACTTCAAAAAAACAGCCCTAACAACCGAATTAGAAACAAAAATACCCAATAAAATCAAAAAATACAAAGAGTATTTTTTAGATGACTTTTTAAATTTCATCTAAATTAATTTAAAAATTTATATTAAGTAGTTATTTTATAAATTTAAAGCGAATGAAATAAAATTTTCTCTGATCAGACGCATAACCTTTAATTCAAACGAATTCTCCGAACTTTAAGAACCAAATATAATCAAATTAATTTGAAAAATTAATTTTAAGTAATTAATTTTTTGGGGGTTTTTATTACACTTTCTAAATATATGAATGACCATATCCTCGTTAATGTAAGCCGAGCTGACATTTGGAGGTTGTGGACGGCTGCCAAGGAGCTAAATGGATATCAAATCTATTTTGACTGTTATTTTAAAACTTCGGATTTATGTTAAGTCGATTTTTCTTTTTTGAGGTCCCATTTAGACAATTTAGTTTAAAAGTCTTTGTGACAGTCGTTTTACAACTTTTGCTTCAATTGTATTTTAGCGACGTTTAAAATCTTGTATATTTGCTCGCACATTTAATCAAACTAGTTCGGATAAACCTAAGGCATGATAAAAAGTGTTGACTGCGATTTATAATAGGCTAGAGATGCTTAAAGAATAGCGGCACTGGGCTGTGTTGACTTAAGTGAATAGTTATAGAGATGGTATTCCTATTGGTTTTTTCTAATTAATGGTTCAATGGACTTCTTATCCATTTTTATAAGTCAAAACTAAACGCACGCCTTATAGATAGCTTCCAAAAATTATTCAGGCTCCTCCTTTTTTAATTTTATTTTTCATCATAATTTATTTTCTCGTCTCATATGGGAGAGGACGCGAGATAAATAGAATGACTGGGTCTTATTTGTAGAATATAGTGTGTGGAAAGCTCCAGACCTTTTTCATTACTGTATGTTTGAGTCCTGTCCGTTAGCTAGACATCCTAAACTTTATCAACTACTGAGTCATTAGTTTATAAAAGTCTCAAGCCTTAAATTTATAAATTTTAATTTATGAAGTTAAATAACTTTTCTAAAGATATTATATAATCGGACAAAATAACCCTACTCTGTCAAATGTCGAGCCAATTAGAAATGCCTTGAATGTCGGTCAGAGCCAAAAACGGTGCCTCTGAATTCTTGATTAGTTAGAAAAAATTTTTTCTCTTAGAGAAAATTCTTGCTCTGTCTTACTTTCATAAGTAAGAGAGACACTTACTTTCTCTTGCCTTTTACTAATACTCGTGGTTTACAAAATAATCAATCATTAGAGACTTTTGCTTTGTCTGTATTTGAATAAAGGGCATTCACGAGGAGAAATGCCAATAACCCACCATGTGATTTTCAAAAAAGCTTGAATAGGTAAATTTTGAAATTGATCTAATAAATTAATTAAATTAAGTAGCTAATTAAATTAATTAAAAATCCTTGAAAGTTTATTTTACTTAATATTTTGACTTTTAAATTAATAATATTAATATTCTAGTCATAATTAAATTATTAAAAGTTAAATTAATGTTTTATCATTTATTATGCTACTAATAACTTTTTTATTTAATCTTTACCTATAAACAAAATATTGAAAAGTAGAATTGAATTGAGAAATAACTAGTTAACAATCGGTCTGTGGCATTAACTATTCCTTTTTATGTACTTGTCAATCTCTTAAAAATTCACGGCAATTCGGCTGCTAAAATTTATATTATTATTCAAGAAAAATACTAAATATTATAATAAATTGAGTTTATATATGTTGGTAGTCGGCCCCGGGGAACATGAGCCGCGTCATCAATGTATAAACGGAAGCTGTTTACCGCATTTACAGATAAAATTACATTTTGTCAATACTATTATTATTTCATATTCTTAATATAAAAATAAAGAATTGGTTGTTGTTGAATCTCACTATTTTCTGCGTCATCAATTATAGCTAATTGAGTGGTTGCATGGGAATAAAGTACTTTAATCCTATATTTTAAAATTAAAACATTTTTACATTTTAATAATTGAAATTATCTAATTATCCTTTTTGGTTAGGTTAAATCATTAAAAGATTAAGTATGCCCATTACCCTTATAGAAAAAATTAAAAAGGATTTAAAAAGGATTAAGCTGCCGGCTGTCACTAATACCTTCAAAATTAGGATGTTGTCTTTTGAACAGTGAATGAATTCTACTGGAAGATCCAGTTGTCGGACAACACTTAATGATGCCCGTAGATAATGGTTTTATTTATTTTTTTATACATTCACGAAAATCAAGGGATCCTATGTAGGAGGCAAATGTTGTAATGATAAAACACCAGTCCGTTAATATAGGATTCTTGCTCGCAGTTAGCCGCAGAATAATCCTTTGTATTAGTTGAAGGAGAAATCAAACAAACGGTGCATAACTTAAAACTCTATATCTATCCACTTTACATAATATTGGCTCCTATTTTCTCAACCCTATCTCTGTTTGTATATCAAACAATACACTTTTCAGCTTTATCAACAATTTATTCGTAACAGAAATTAGGTATTTTGTGTCATTTACGGGACCTTTAAAAAACTATTTGAAAATGCGTGTATTCGAATTTGTTTTCATATTATGTTTTTGATGTTGTTGAAAGGAAAAAACTGTAAACATGTTTTAATTTTACGATAAGAAACCTGTAAAACTTAAATCAATATCTCTCCATCTTTAACCTTGAATAATCTCTCATTATATTCTCTCTCTTAAATCTCTTAAGTAGGTAGAGAGAGGGAGGGGAGTGAAGAAGAGAGGAGGGGGATGTAATTTAAATTGCTGGCAAAGATATGGAGAGGATTTGTCAATAAAATAAAGTCTCTTTCTCCCTCATTTTGCTATCCTTTACCAAGATGGAGAGAGGGAGGGGAGTGAAGGAGAGAGGGGAGGGGGGGGGGGGGTAATTTAAATTGCTGGCAGCGATATGGAGAGGATTCGTCAATAAAATAAAGTCTCTTTCTCCCTCATTTTGCTATCCCTTACCAAGATGGAGATATGGAGGGAAGTGAAGGAGAGAGAGGGGGGGGGGTAATTTAAATTGCTGGCAGCGATATGGAGAGGATTCGTCAATAAAATAAAGTCTCTTTCTCCCTCATTTTGCTATCCCTTACCAAGATGGAGAGAGGGAGGGGAGTGAAGGAGAGAGAGGGGGGGGGTAATTTAAATTGCTGGCAGCGATATGGAGAGGATTCGTCAATAAAATAAAGTCTCTTTCTCCCTCATTTTCGCTATCCCTTAAGGTGTGGAGAGAGAGAGGCGAGTGAATGAGAGGGGAGGGGGTAATTTAAATTGCTAGCAGCGTTAATTAATTCTAATAAATTTAATAATTTTTTTTATTTTTAATTTAATTAATTTATTTATGTCAATCAGACAAGCATTTTATTAAATTTTGTAATAGAAAATATTTAAAATTTATTTATATAACTTTTGATAAACTTATTTACATATTTTGTTTTTTGTTTAAAATCTATTATAATTAAGAAGAAACCTCATATTTTAACCTCATAAAGTTTTAGATGAACAAGTTTTTGTTTATAACAAGTTTGTTGATAATTCTTGGCGTGAACTTCGCCTTGTCAATGGTACCAGCTGAAAGGGACATTGAACTTGGCGAAATACAAGCTGAAAATCTTTCCGACTCTGATGATGATGAACAGGCTGTAGGAGATAACGGTGGATATGATGGAGATGATGTAATTGTTTATCAAAAATTTACATTGGAAATTTTAGCGTTTTTATTAAAACATGTTCATAATTATAAATACTAAATTTAAGGGGGAGGAAGATATCCGATCAGGCCCACGCGGATATCGTCGTAGATCTAGAAGGAACCGTCGTCAAGGCGCTAGAGCCGAACGAGTTGATCTGGAGGCAATTGAGGAAGAAAAGGAAGAAGTGGAAACAAAGAAAGACAAGGAAGAAGATGAATGCTGCAAATGCTGTATCATTATGTAGAAATTTTATCCTTAAAAATATGTGAAAGAATATGAAAAATGTTTTTTAAAGATAAGTTGTAAAAACTTTGGCTGACCCCTAATTTTTACGCCTGTATTATCTACATATAATAGTCAAATTATTTATCTATCATTCCAAAGCTCTTCAAGCTGATAGAAGGACTAATCAACAAAATGACACAACTGAAAAAAGCTATTTACAATTTGTTTTAATCCTTTTTCAAACAAGGATTAAGCTCCATAATTTTGTCATAATCATCAAGCCTAACTTATCAAAGTCTCATTCGACCTAGCTTCGAAGCAAAAAAGATCAAAATATGCAGGGAAACCTGAAAAAAGATGAGGGGTGTCAGCCATATGATGACCGATAATTTTGATATATTGACATCCTTATCAGAGTTGTGTCCTAATTGAAAAAATTTTTTCGTAATCGTAATTCGTAATTTAAAAAAAATTCGTATTCGTAATTCGTAACTAGAAAATGCCGTAATTCGTAATCTTAATTCTTAATTTATAAAAAATGTAAAAATTTTTTTTAATTTTTTTTTCAAAGCCTTAGGAGAAAAATTCAAAGCCTTAGGAGAAAAAATTCAAGTGTTAGAGCCGGAGGCAAAAATTTTTTAAGTTTAGACTAATTAAAAATTTTAAAGTTTTTTCCAGTTTAAAGTATGTAAAATTCAAATTACAAATTTAAAATCAAAAATTATTTGATTTTCGTTTTCTCACAAAACATTAAAAAAAGATTTATCCAGAAATCAGCGGAATCGGCAGAAATCAGCGGAATCTATTTTTATTTTAAGACTGTAATTTATTTTTAAATATTATCTAAATTGAAAAAAACAATCCTTTGCTTGTGAGCTGAAAAAGGAAGAAATTTGGCTTCTTGGGTTGAATATTAGGGCAAATGATGCTAATCCTTCAAATCCCATTAATTCCTCGAATTGATGAAATTTTACAATTATTCAGCAACTGATGTATAGAACATTTCTTTGAAGGATTTTAGTATGAACATGATGTTCTGATGAGGATTTAATTAATCAAAAACCGGGGATAAGTTAAAAAACGAAAACCGGGTTCGAAAACCATCCATAAATGATAGCTTTGAGATTTTAGTTTAAAATTTTAAAGTTTCGGCTTTAGGTGAAGACCAATGCTTTGGAACTCCCTCCCCATAGTAAATTAATAATTTTCGCAATAGGGTCAGCAGTGACGCAAAAAAATCTTTAGATTTTTACAAATTTTATATCAGCAAATGTAGTAACGTTTTACAATTTATAAAAATAGAAAAAGTCGAAAAGGATTTAGTGTGATTTAAAAAAGCTCATAGGTTTACATGTTTCAAAAACGGACTGTAGTAGATAGTCGTTGGTATCAGTTATAAGTTACCCAAAAAAAGTCAGCAAACTCCGATTGTTCAGCTGTCGAAACAAATAAGTTTAGTAATAAATTTCTTTCTATTAACAACAGTCCGTGATAGGCTTCATAGAAGCGATAAATCAATCAGGGGGATTATATACAGGAAGGTTGATGTTTGGATTTAACGAAATGTTTAAAAAGATGACGTACAAACTTGTTCACTCGTTCTTAATTTTTGCTCCTCTCAAAAAATCCTCAAAAAAATCCTCAAATGCCTTCACTCACTTTATCCAATTTTTTATATTTCATATTTTTCTTCGTTAAATGCAAATTTTCGCGAAGTTTTTTGGTTCCTTTACTTATTTTAACAAGACTACGATTAATAAAGCTGTCCTTTCTCTTTTCAAATCCGTCAAAAAATAGTTTAAATTCTTCTTTTTCTTTTTCCTTTTGCAGTTTCAATTTATCCAAATCCGCTTGGCTATTAAATGTATTAATCAAATCTTCAACAAAAGGATTTTCAAAATTTAAGCCAAGATAATTCTCCGTAAATTCAAGCACAATTTCGCAGTAACGCCTTGAAAATTTTTTTAAAATAACGTTTTGTTCGAAAATTTTGTAGATACTTTGATAACTTTTTTCGTTACACATCACTATTTTATGCAAAAAATTTGTAAAGTCATTTCTTTTCAATTCTTCCAAATGCTTTTGCAATATCTTTAAAAATTTTTTGATTAAAAAATTTTTTTACAATTAAAAATAAACATAATAAGTTATTTGATTAAACATTACTTTGGCAATATAAACTAGAAAAAATAACTCGGCTTCTTGCCCTACTAAGATTCTCAAATTTTGTAATAAATAGATCAACTAAGTTAATAAGCCATTTCGGCAAAAGACAACGTATAAATGCTCAGCCGACTGTAAAACTGGGAACGTTGCTTCCTCTTTATCTTTTAATATTCCTTAAAACCCCTCTTTTCAAATGTTTTCACCTTCTTAATTACATATAAACAAACCGCAAAATTTTTCTTAAGTGTTTTTGACGTCTTTTTTATCTTCTTTATGTTTTCAGAACGTGTGTAGAAATATTTTACAAAATTTTCAAACATTGGAGCATTTTTAAAGAATTGGAGAATTTCTTTATCAAACTTTTTTATTTCTATAACTGTGTTAAAACATTTTTGCATTTTGCCTGTATCTGTTATAGTTTGAATAAATGGCATTGCTGTTTCATTAAACTTGTCTTGATTTCCTTTCTTAACTGCCTCATTTTTAAGTTTTTCTATCATTTCTATCAACTTTTTCTTATAATGATTTTCATCTATTTTTTCACCGTTTTCCAACTCATCTTTTTTATCTTCTTTTTTCTTCTCTTGTTTTGATTTTCGATGGTCAATACCGGTTTCTTCAACTTGATGAAATCCAGAAGAAACATCAGCATTAACCACATTAACCAACGGTTCCACCGTTGCCTCAAAAGTAGGCAACAAAATAAAAAAATAAAAAATGAAAAAATGCCAAAAAATGTTGGGTAACATTTTTGAATTTTTGTCTAAATTAATATAAAAATTTAAAAAAATTTTTCCTTGAATTAAAAAATTTTATTTTAAAGAGTGGGTCGTAAGTGGAAATTCTTATCTCCTGTATAATCCTCTCGATGGCTCGTTATTTGCTTTTATAAGGACAACTTCGCAAAAGTAAAGCGCACGCTTCTAAAGATGTCTGCCAAAAAATTTATCAAAGCTCCTCCCTCTCTCCTTCTGTATGTTTGAGTCCTGCCCGGTAGCTCGACTTAAAAAAATTTAGAAAAACTGAGTCAATAGTTGATAAAGTTTCAAGACTTAAATTTATAAATCTATACTTTATGAAGTTAAATAACTTTTCTAAAGATATTATATAATCGGTTAAAATAACCCTACACTGTCCGAATATCGAGTCAAGCTCGAAAATAAAAAGCAAAGGCTTAGTAAAAAGACACTAGAAATGTCTTGAACGTCGGTCAGACCCGAAAACTGTGCCTCTGAATGCTTGATTAGTTAGAGAAAACTTTTTCTCTTAGAATTCTTTCTCTCTCTTACTTTCTTAAGTCTCTCTCTTACTTTCTTAAATAAGAGTTACTTAGTTTCTCTTGCCTCGTAATAATACTCGTGGTTTACAAAATAATCAATCATTAGAGACACATGTCTTTGCGTGTATTTGAATAAAGGGCATTCACGAGGAGAATGCCAATAACCCACCATATGATTTTCCAAAATTCTGGCCTTGAATAGGTAAATTTTGAAATTGATCTAATAAATTAATTAAATTAAGTAGCTAATTTAATTAATTAAAAATCCTTGAAAGTTTATTTTACTTAATATTTTGACTTTTAAATTAATAATATTAATATTCTAGTCCTAATTAAATTATTAAAAGTTAAATTAAATTTTTATCCTTTTTCCGGCTACAAATAACTTTCTTTATTTAATCCTGAACTTGAACAAAATAATGAAAAGTGGAATTGCATTGTGAAATAACAAGTTAACTATCGGTCTGTGGCATTAACCTAATCCTTTTTATGTACTTTTCAATCACTCAAAACTTCGCGACAATTTGGCTGCTAAAATTTATTTTATTATTCATGAAAAATACTAAATATCATAATAAAATGACTTGATATATGTTGGTAGTCGGCTTCAGGAACATGAGCCAATTCATTTTATGTATAAACGGAAGCTATTTAGCACAAAACAAAATTACATTTTGTAAATACTTGTATTATTTCATATTCTTAAAATAAAATAAAGAATATGAATAAAAAACTTACCATTAATACTAGAGACGTTTAATAAAATTGTGTTGAATTATTAATAGTTGTTAATTATTCAAATCATTTAAATTATTATTATTTAATTGTTGGTTAATTGAATTAATTGATTATTGTTGAATCTCACAATTTTCTTCGTCTTCAATTATTGTTATTTTAAATTATACATATATGCCTATATATAATTTATATATAAACAAATTACTATTTGAAGTTGATTGAATTAATCAAGGAGATGAAAAATTCTGCGGTGAGGATCGAATTAAACAATGAGATGGAGTAGGTGATATGTATTTATAAGATGTTCTTTTTTTATTAGTTGATTTAGACATTTTTAAAAATTAAAACTTATAATCAAAAAAATATTTAATACTAAAAAATATAATTAAATGAAAAAGTGATGAAGAAATAAAAAATATGAGTTTTTTTAATAAAAAATGCTAGTTAGTTGTTTGGGTCAATAATCTTTTCCTCAAAAGTATTTGAAAAATGGTAAAAACAACAGACATATGTCTCTTTTCCCATAATTTTTATGTAGAGAAACATATTCTACAATTAAATAAAGAAATAGATTACTATTATGTTGAACTCATCGATCATATTTCCCAATAATTAAATATAAACAAACATAATTGCATGGGAAAAAAGTACTTTAATCCTATTTTTTAAAATTAAAATATATTTAGATATTAATAATTAAAATTATGGAAATATTATCTAATTATCCTTTTTGGTTAGGTTAAAGCATTAAAAGATTAAGTATATCCATTACCCTTATAGAAAAAATTAAAAAGGATTTAACTTAAAAAAGTATTTAAAGGATTAAGTTGCCGGCTGTCAGTAATACCTTCAAAAGTAGGATGCTGTCTTTTGAACAATGGATGAATTCTACTGGAAGATCCAGTTGTCGGATCACACTTAATGATTCCCGTAAATAATGGTTTTATTCATTTTGTTTTATACACCCACGAAAATCAAGGGATCCTATGTAGGAGGCAAATGTTGTAATGATAAAACATCAGTCCATCAACATAAGATTTTTGCTCGCTGTTAGCCGCAAAATAATCCTTTGTATTAGTTGAAGGAAAAATTAAACAAACTGTGCATAACTTAAAACATTATAACTTCCACCCTTTACCTAATATTTACCTCACAATCTGTTCTCGGCACTATCTGTGTTTGTATATTGAACAATACACTTTTCAGCTTTATCAGCAGTTTATTCGTAATAGAAATTATGTGATTTTTTGTCATTTTTAGGACATTTAAAAAATCTATTTGAAAATGCGTGTATTCGAATTTGTTTTCATATTATGTTTTTGATGTTGTTGAAAGGAAAAAAACTGTAAACATGTTTTAATTTTACGATAAGAAACCTGTAAAACTTAAATCAATATCTCTCCATCTTTGCCCATGAATAATCTCTCATTATATTCTCTCTCATCAGTCGCATTTTCGCTATCTCTTAAGGAGGGAGGAAGAGAGGAGGGGGGGGGGGTAATTTAAATTGCTGGCAAATATATGGAGAGATTTGTCAATAAAATAAAGTCTCATTCTCCCTCATTTTCGCTATCACTTACCAAGATGGAGAGAGGGAGGAAGAGAGGAGAGAGAAGATGTGGAGGTAATTTAAATTGCTGGCAAAGATATGGAGAGGATTTGTCAATAAAATAAAGTCTATTTCTTCCTCATTCTCGCTATCCCTTACCAAGATGGAGAGAGGGAGGGGAGTGAAGGAGGGGGGGGGGGTAATTTAAATTGCAGGCAAAGATATGGAGAGGATTTGTCAATAAAATAAAGTCTCTTTCTCCCTCATTTTCACTCTCCCTTAATGAGTGGAGAGAGAGAGAGGGGAGTGAAGGAGAGGGGGGGGGTAATTTAAATTGCAGGCAAAGATATGGAGAGGATTTGTCAATAAAATAAAGTCTCTTTCTCCCTCATTTTCACTCTCCCTTAATGAGTGGAGAGAGAGAGAGGGGAGTGAAGGAGAGGGGGGGGGTAATTTAAATTGCCGGCAGTGTTAAGAATTCATTAATTCTAATAAATTTATTAATTTTTTATTTTTAATTTAATTAATTTATTAATTGTCAATCAGACAAGCATTTTAATAAATTTTATAATAGAAAGTATTTAAAATTTATTTATTTAACTTCTGAGTAACTTATATACATATTTTATTTTTTGTTTAAAATTAATTATAATTAAGAAGAAACCTCATATTTCTATTAAAATTCCACCTTTTTTTTAGATGAACAAGTTTTTGTTGATAACAACTTTGTTGATAATTCTTGGCGTGAACTTCGCCTTGTCAATGGTACCAGCTGAAAGGGACATTGAACTTGGAGAAATACATGCTGAAAATCTTTCCGACCCTGATGATGATGAACAGGCTGTAGGAGATAACGGTGGATATGATGGAGATGATGTAATTGTTTATCAAAAATTTAAAAATTTTCATTTAAAATTTTAGCGTTTTTATTAAAACATGTTTATAATTATAAGTGCTAAATTTAAGGGAGAGGAAGATATCCGATCAGGCCCACGCGGGTATCGTCGAAGATCTGGAAGGAACCGTCGCCAAGGCGCTAGAACCGAACGGGTTGATATGGAAACAATTGATGAGGAAAAGGAAGAAGTGGAAACAAAGGAAACCAAGGAAGAAGATGAATGTTGCAAATGCTGTATAATTATGTAAAAATTCTAACCGTAAATATATGTGAAGGATATGAAAAACGTTTTTTAAAGATAAGTTGTAAATACTTTGGCTGACCCCCATTTTTTAGTCCATATTATCTATCATGGCCTATTATCTATCATTCGAAAGCTCTTCAAACTGAGTAGAAGGACTAAAATTAACAAGATTTGACACAAACGAGCAAAGTATGACAATCTGTTTTAATCCATTTACAAGCAAGGATTAAGCTTCATAATTTTGTCATAATCATCACACCTAACCTTTTAAAGTTTAATTCGACCTAGCTTCGAAGCAAAAAAGATCAAAATAGCCAGGGAAACCAAAAAAAGATGAGTGGTGTCAGCCAAATGATGACCGAAAATTTTGATATATTTACATCTGATTAAAAGACAATTGCTTTAAAATCATTTAATATTTGAAAGCTAAATGTAGTTATATAAAATTAGAAACATGGCTGGGAAAACCTGTATATGCCATTATGGTTATTCTCAAAAATGATCTTTTTGCATGCGTCCGAGCACCTTACGACCCGATTCTTAATAAAGCACCAGTGCTCGGTATTTGCCATTTGTTGGCTCCGGTCCGTTCGACAAAAAATGAAAAAAATGGAAATCTTTTATCTAAAACAAAAAATGAGTTGAACAAATTTAGATATATGTCATATAATAGGTGGTACGACAATTCAAGATCAAACTAGAAATCATTTGGAAATCGACAGTTGTCACTATATGACCGGCGGCTCGCACTAATTTTTTACTTTTTTGATTTCTATTTCCGAAGTTGCCGTAACACAGTACAATTCAATAAAAAATAAAATTGAAAAATGTATGTATATGTATGTGCAATTTAAAAATAACTATGTAGAGCTTTGAGATTTTAGTTTAAAATTTTAAAGTTTCGGCTTTAGGTGAAGACCAATG